AGAGAGAGAGAGAGAGAGAGAGAGAGAGAAAGAGAGAGAGAGAGAGAGAGAGAGAGAGAGCTATATCTTAGAGAATAGCAATGCATGCAAGTATAAAAAAATCGTTTCACAAATCACATATAAATAGATGAGATATTAAATACAATATCTCATGCATAATATAATACATTGAACAATATTTTGTGGAATTCTAATACTCTCTACAGATCCTTACCCATATATAGCTCAAGATGTGAACTTATTTTTTTAATTTCTATTATAAATGATCATTATATATATAGCTATATTTTACAACTAGAGAATCACTTAGAGAATAGCAATGCATGTATAAAAAAATTGTTTCACAAATCACATATAAATAGTTGAGATATTAAATACAATATCCCATGTTATAATACATTAAATATCATTTTGTGGAACTCTAATTAAGACTCTACAAATCCTTATCACTTTCCCTTGTACATTTATGCGATTTTATATGTATTCTTGTCAATAGAACATAAAACATTCTCGCGTACATCCACATTTATTCTTTTGTAGCCTTCAAATTATTCCATATATTACAAAATATCTTTCGTATAAACGAATTTTATTAGTTTTTTTTATACATTTTCTTTAATAAATTTTACATTATGCCTTACATAATTTTATAAACAAAAACCCCTTTTATATATACACACACGTGCGCACCATATTGTGTGTATGTGTGTGTGTTGCATAAAATTCTTATACATACAAATGCAAATAAAAAGAATGTAATATTACGATCAGATTCAAATATCAGTATTATACAATAGCATTGCATATTATATGTGCAGTAATTTCGTGCAGGTATCTATAAATAACTTAACATTATTAAAAATCAAAATTATAACTTGTAAACCTCATTCGCAAGAGGCTATTTATTTTATCATATATAGACATATGGATATATATTTCATTATCATATGGATATGATATATCCATTATAATCACAATTTTTTCTTTTTCTTTTTTATTCTGACGATAATTAATACACAAGATATTAGTATAATCAAACACGTATACACAAACGAAGTACTTTTTAATATCTTTGTACATATAATAATGCATACATTTATGCACGCACTAAATGTGTTATTTTACGATTGTAAAATAAACAACAAAAAGAGAAACGATTGTCGAGGCATAATGATCGTAGAAGCTACTTAAATATGTAATATCCAAATTATAATTTAATGCCAATGCTATTGATTAATAAAGATCAATTCATTAGTCATAAAAGTACATATTTCTTACATATATAATATAGATTATGAGATTATATACTCTAATCTATATACGTGTGTATATATATATATGTATATATATATAAAATATATTATATTACATGTAAAATATTTTGATATATATATTACATATGTTGTATTATATTTATATTTTATATATCTACTACTATATTATATAACATATTATACATATTATAATTGTTCATATCATTTAAATATACTATTATATTGTATAACATTTATATATATTATATGTGCTATATTTACATATCTCTATACCAATAATTATATATAAATAATCTTTTCTTTCTTTTATAATTTTTAAGATCAAGTTAATAGTATATTCTACTTGTTATAAATTTGTTTTATATTCTTTTTTGCTGCTGATTAAATTTTCGATTATTGTGTAGTTGCAACGTAATACATAGACGAACAAAATTATCCATTACATTACTGATTAATAGCAAAAACTCTTTCTATATTTAATTTACACATTAATATTGTAATATATATTTCCATTGTTGTGAAAAAGAAATAAGATTATCTTGCACGCTCAATATAAAGTACATTTATATAAGTAACATTTATCCTTAAAAAAAAATAATATATTATTATAATACATAGTACAACTATGTGGCGAAATGTACCATTAAACTTTTGTTTTAAAAATTATATTATAAAAGATAATTTATATAGAATTATCAATATATAGATATGTAAACACAGCTATTACACAATATAATAATATATACATAATATAAAAAATATAATATATTAAGGTAATGCATGTTATATTGTATATATAATATATATACTTGTATAATATTGTACATATTATAATCTATATTATAATTCATTCATATATATAATCCATATTATACATATTTAAATGAAATATTATACGTACTTCTTTTATAACTGATAAATTGATCTTTATTAATAATTAGTCAACAGCATAGGCATTGGACTAATAATTCAGATATCTTATAATATTTATGTAATTTCTACAATTATTTCTCTTTTTGTTGCTTATTTTATACTTGTAAAATAATTATACAATTAAATTCGTGCAGAATGTATGCATGTTACATGTAGTTATTACGACGCTGAGAAATACTTTCTTTGTATATACGTGTTTGGATGTTAATTATCATTAGAACAAAAAAGAAAGGAAAAATTAATGTGATTATAATGCATAACTAATTATACAGTGATAAAATATATATTGTATCTTATATCCACATGATAAAATAAACAGCTTCATGCGAATGAGATTTACCAGTTACAATTCTGATTGCTTATAATCAAGTCATTTATTAATGTGTAAATTAAGTATAGTTTTTGCAATTAATTAATCAATTAATTAACACAATTGGTAATACAATTGATAATTTTTCTACGTATTATTATACTGCAACTATACGATCGAAAATTTATTTTAGCAAAAAGAAAACAAAAAAACAAAAGATCCTTATATTTATCCTTAAACGAAATGCATCGGTGATCCCGCCATTTTTAAGTCAAAATTTGTTCTCTTGTCCAATCGAAAGTTTGTTCTGTAAATGGAAATAGTGTCTTATAGATCGTGATTGTAATTAATATTCGATCTGTACAGTCAATTGCTTACGATTGTATCAAGGTTCTTCCGCGAAAAGCTCCTAAATGAGCATAATAAGTTGGCGCCGGATAGCTTACTGCTCTTGTACAGCGGGCATACATGTGGCAAAGGTAATAAGTCATCTCCTCAAGCTGATCTTCGTTAAATTTAGAATCATTGTATATGCATCTGTATTTCGTATGCCGCGCTGTGCCCTACATTTATAGCATAATTAACATAATATGTCAAATGTAACTTTATTTAATTGAAGAAATATGCATTTTTTATAATTTGGAAATTTAATTATTAATACATGCTCTATATGTTACTTAAACTGAATTATTATAATTATCACGAGTTAACTATTGTTAATTGCCTATCATTGTTATTGCGTGAAAATTTTGTATACTGCTAAATTTAATGTTCCTTAATAACAATTATAATTATGTAAACGTATTAAAAGAAAACAAATCAACGAGACTTTACCTGAATACTCGCATGTGACACGAGATAAAAGTCAATGTGATCTGGATGGGTAATTTGTGTATCGACAATTGTACCCGGTCTCACGTTACCATTTCTGTCGTCTGTGTCTTTTGGATTTACGGGAAAGAGGCGCACATGATGTCTCTTCTGAACAACCACGCAAGTAATTTCAATGTTACCTTTATTGAATTTTCTAATCGCCTGTCTAATGGCGTTTATTTCGTGGAACATAACTTGTGGAAGCTGCCCCTCACTAACTCCGTCTCTAAATATTGATACAAATATGGAATGTATTAAATTATAAATATACAATGGTAGAAATTAAAAAAAAAATAGCGATTTTAATTGTTTACATGTTTCCTTGTTTACTCTAAAATATTCGCAACTAAATTACATTCGCAACTACACTTATATTTACAATATAAGTTTCATTTTATGCATATTTAAAAAGAATTATTTTTACAGTTTCGTATAACATTGTATATCATTGCCAATACATACCGGTAATAAATGATTCTCTTTGGTGCACGTCTGTTTTCCTGGCCATAGGCGTTAAGTTGTGCTAGGATTATTGCTTCAAGATCTAAAATCATTTCTTCTTTGGGTGGTTGAAGTTTCAGTACAACATTATACTGGAAAGCTGAATTTCTACTTGCAGCAACCTAAATTAATGACATTTCTTATTAATACATATATATTCATAATACATATACATAAAAGAAAAGCTATGTTTAATTATACACACCGCCGCTATAGAGGGTATATCTCTAGAATCAGGAGCCGGATGAGTTACGTCGGCACCAACGAGTATGTAATCGCATTGTAGACAGAATGGTCTAAGAGGAAAATAAAAACGAAAAAAAAACCAATATTATTCGAGACTATAAACATATTTAAAATAAGACAAGTATTATTCACTCACATGGTTTGCAATATATGATTGACGCCATTTAATTTCGAGTTTATTTTTTGTAGAATATTTTTCAGCGTCGAAGCAGGTACGTCGCTTCCATTTTTTATAGTTTGAATCTTTATACATTGTGTCAAAACACCTATCTCCATCTCGGTAATTTGTTTTACGTTGCCTAAGACAATGATAAATAATATCAGATTGGTTTATATATTAAAAATGAGAAAGTAAAATAAAAAGTACTCACCGTATGTTACGTCTCTCTGATTTGGTATAAGAACTATTATCAACTTTAAATGCTTATGTGTATTGAAAAAGTCTTTAATCTTGTTTAGTTCATTTGCGTAAAATCTTTTGTATGGACGAATGGAGTCTCCAATTCTCATACCACATTCTGATCCTAAAAAAAAGATACTTAACGTAAAATATATGAATACAATCTATGTAGTATAATTCAAAATTACAGTTCGTTAATATCTAAATTCACAGTTGCAAGCTGTGCATATTTTTTTCGAATCAACAAGTAACAGATATATTACTTAGAAATCTTTGAAAAAATACATAAAAATACATAAAAATTTTAATCATATTTCTCATATACTTAACCTGTTTTCCTTAACTCTTTCACGAACTCCTGCATTTTTATTTCAGCGTCTTTCGTTCCACTCAAATCGAGAATAGTCCACGAACGGTCTTCCAAATGTTTGGGTTGATTAAACTTTTGCAAATACCATACTCCTCTCATTACTTTCGCTGTTCTTTCATTTTCATATTTCAATATTGGAGCACTTAAAACTCTGGCATCTACTCTTTTCATTTGTGGATTCACAGATAGATGGAATTCATTTTCCATGACGGGACTGTTATTCACTTTAATTTCGTCGAACTAGAAACACATAACACAAATATATCGCATACACATAACATAAATAACGACACAATACGTTAAATCTAACAATGTCTTACCGCGGCTTCAATTCTATATTTACGATCTGGCGCTTTCGCTACTGTTTTCTTGATCATTGCTGCAGTTTGCGTTTCATCAAGCTTTTTATTAATGGCCTGTTTACCGACAATAGTGCACAGCTGTAAAAGTTCGAGGGAATTCTTAGTTTCTTTTACGCCATCACTTACACGAATAGTAAATATAAAACAGCTTACGCACTTCGACAGGCAGCATAACTTTGCCTCCGTCGGCAGTGTTGCCCACATGAAGAACAGGCAAATCAGGTCTACCTATTTTATATCTCTTCACTTCCCGGAAGTATGTCGTTATTGTGTACTGTCGTCCACTGCTGCTATCCGAAAACTTGAATGAGTCGCAACTGTCTTTACATAAATCCATTATGCGATACGTTCGCTTCGAACTCGGTAAGCCAGGTATTTCGTAAGTCACTTTCAAACCTCTCAAAAAGCTTTGCATCTTTAATGAATATCTCATCACGTCGTCATAAGTAAGTTCTCTTACTCTTCTTTCGTTGTTAAGTGCAACTTCAGCCATGTATGCGATTACTTTTTGAGTTACGGTAAATCCTTTATGAGAAACTATATAAAATACAAAAAGTATTATGTAGAGATTATAGATAAAGATATTTGATATAGTTTTAAAATTTAAAATTCGTTACAAGTCTTAAGAGTATCGTTTATGATCAAAATGAAAAATATCAACATGGATACTTTACTGTCTACATTTAGATACGGTTGCCAGCCAAGTACTCCGGATAAAAATCCGCCGCGCCCTAGAGCTACGCCAGCGCCTAGTTTCTCTTCTTCATTTATATTCCAAAAAAGTGACTTTCCAACCTATAAAAACATATTTTACACCATTTATATTTATTCTATACAAACATTACCTCCAATTTGCAATATTTTAAGTACAAATAGATATATACTATAAAAAGTGAATTTATGTTCAAACAATGTGTGATCTTGCGAAAACACTTGAACACTTGTTTTTTTTTTAATAAATATTTCAAAGCAATTTATTCTCCAAAAATCGATATTATTTATAATTATACAAAAATTACTACTAACAAGTTATCAATAATAGTAATAATAGTAATAATAGTAATAATTACCGTGATATTACTAGTTCGTGATTCCGGTGCATGACGCATGATAATATCCAAGACTTGTATAGCGGTTTGATCTTTATTTCCTGCAAGACCAGGTCTCAAATTTTTTATCCAGCTAAGATCAACATTAGCTACTTTCTTCATAATAATTTCAAATTTTCGTTGTTGGTTATTGTCAATTACCGAGACGACACCTCGTATCTATATATAGGATGAAAATTATTAAAATGTTAAAATATAAAAATTAGAAATTAGAAATTTCGAATATAATGTTATAAAATTTATTCCAGATGTGAGAAATCGTTTTACAATCAATGCGTACGTTACTTACATCATCGCCGAAAGGAAGATTATTTCCACTGTATGCATTTTTATTCCCATCATATGCTGGATATCTTTTATTAAAATTTTTATTTCTAAATTCTTCAAAAATTATTCGACATAAACCTTTGGGAAGTTTGGGTACTCTGACTTCTTTTTTGGATTCTTCCCTGTAAGGCTTAATAGTAACGTCGTAGTGAACTGCATTGGTTACAAAATTATCTTTAAATATAATTTCGAACATGTTTGTAAAAACAGCAGTCTTTTCCCCTTTCGTTCCAGCTCTCCCAGGATTTTGTCTCCTCGGTATCATCTCATGATATGCTTTCAATTGAGCCGTCGACATTTTTGCCTTTGTTGCAGTCCTTTCTGAGGAGAATGGATCTGTCAAAGTAAGCCCAGTTAACTGAAAAAGAAAAAGATAATTAAAACGACTGAATAAACTTGAGAATGCAATATCTATTCGTGATAAATATTTGTGACCAATATTCTATTAAAACATGCGCACATGCTCATATAATTATGTAAAAAACTAATATTAATAGTATTAATTTTATATGATCGTACAAGAGGTGGAGATTGAATACTTGTGGATGGCTGCATACCAGTCGGTTGTACTTTCTGATCACCAGCAGCACCAATATCAACTGTAAAAAATAAAAATATTTATACACATACACTAATGTGCGTATATACTAGATAGCCAATGTGTCGTCAGAGTGCCTGGTTTCTGCTACCAATTTGCTTATATAGCATGTCAGCAGGCTTTGTCGACAAATCCTGCTGACATAGCATGTGCTTAATACTGACACAAATGGCTATGGATTTGCAATAGGAATCGAATTTGTTGCCAATTTGCCTAGCATTTGTACTATCAGGGTACATATGTATACATATATGTATGTATGCATACATAAACTTAATGTCCTATTTCAAGGAAAATAAATAACTATCTGAAAAAGACTTATATAAAAATATATTAGACAAAATAATTTCATTTGAGAAAGATAGTTTTCAGACATTATACCTTTGTTTCAAATAAATTTGTTTCAACAAAAAAATTCTCTTTTTTTAAATAAAACTGTTTTTTGTTACAATTCAATTTTCCTTATCATTTTATACAGAAAGATATTAAAATAAGATAAATAAAAAATCAATACTTCACTAGATATTTTATATATTATTCTAATATAAAATATCTTATGTATTTATGTTAAGTATTTGTTTTTCAATAATCTCAATTAAGTATTTTTATACCTGGGGATAAAAAGAATTGAGAATTGATTTTTTCTTTATGAATGCATTAATACATAAGTAAAATAGTACTTTTTCTCTCTTAAATATAACTATGTATCTTTTTACATTAATTGATATTTATATTTAAAAAATTCGAAAACAATATTCAAATATTCTAATATTCTAAATACTAATTGTCCTTATTTTTTATTAGAAAATAATTTTTACTTGAAGGTTTCAGCTGCTTCTGCTGCTGAGATGAAATTGGTTTTTGATGCTCCTGTTGTATTTGTTGTGCCTGTACTACTTGTTGCGGTTGACCATGTGCTCCTTGTTGTCGTGGCCAAGCTGGTGGCTGCTGCTGTGGTGGTACACTCTGTGGTACTTGTTGTCGTGGCCAAGCTGGTTGCTGCTGCTGTGGCGGTACACTCTGTGGTCCTTGTTGTTGTGGCCGAGCTGGTGGCTGTTGCTGTGGCTGCTGCTGTGGCGGTACACTCTGTGGTACTTGTTGTTGTGGCCAAGCTGGTGGCTGCTGCTGTGGCGGTACACTCTGTGGTACTTGTTGTCGTGGCCAAGCTGGTGGCTGCTGCTGTGGTGGTACACTCTGTGGTCCTTGTTGTCGTGGCCAAGCTGGTGGCTGCTGCTGTGGTGGTACACTCTGTGGTCCTCGTTGTCGTGGCCATGCTGGTTGCTGCTGCTGTGGCGGTGGACTCTGTGATTCTTGTTGTTGTGTACTCTGTGCTGGTTGTTGCGGTTGGCCTTGTGATACCTGCTGTTGCTGCTTCTGCTGTAAACCCAATATAGTTTGTCTCTTTAATATTTGTTAAGATTGTGAATTGTCTGTTTATTTTGCTGCTGCAATGAATCTTGCATTACTTGATGCAATAAACTTTTAGATACTTTTTGTTGCTTCTGCTGTGACGGATCAGATGATGAGTGAAAATTAAATGATGCAAAAATTCAGGTAAAAAGTTGAACAGTTTGTTTATCATAACTTTGAAGTTGTTACCATAATTTTGGCATATGGAAATTCAGCACTCAGAATGCATATTCTGAGAGCTACACATTTTTTATCACTTATTTCTATATATTGCAGTCTAAATATAAATAAATAATTTAGATAATGGATCAAATTATCATCCCAGGAAAAAAATCTTATTACACTCATCACCTGATCCATCACAGTAGAAGCAACAGAAAGTATCCAAAAGTTCACCAAAAGTTGTATCAGTAAGAATTTACAATCTTAATAAATATCAGGCAAACTAATTTTTATAGCAGCAGTAGCAAGTTGTTAGCAGCAGTAGCAAGGTCGATACCTGTTGTTCCGATGTAGAAGCATCTTGTGAGGTAGATTCAGCTCCTGCCTGCTTCTTCTTCTTTCCTGTAATTTATACAGCAATATATATATATATATATATATATATATATATATATATACATACATATATTTTTATTAGATTATATATCTATTATTAAACTATATCTCTTAAATACACACAAATAGTTTTAAGATTGTAACATATACTGACATATTTGAAGCTCTCATCTAATTTAATTAAACAGATTTAATGCTTTTAAACAAATATGTAAATCTTTGTAGCTACATTACGTTACACTTTCTGCACTTACAGTAAAATAAATATAGTATATTAGATAAAAAAGTAACAATAACAATAATGTGATAATATAAGACCCAATAAATTGATAAATTAAATTAATAAAGTAAAGGACTATGGATCCTAATCTATATGTTTAATGTTCCAAGTTATAACAAAGATTATTTGAATGTAATAACAACAAACGTTTAAAAAACACTGCGATAATGAGAATGACTCGAGAGAGGTCAAAACATCTGTTGTTATTGCATTCAAATAATCTTCCTTACAATTTGGAGCATTAAATATCCAATGTAAGCTCCTTAGCCCTTTTACAGCCCCTTATTTTAACGATCTAAAAATTTTATGATTTAAAGTAAAAATATACAAAAAGTTCAGCTACGAAGAATCTAATGGCATCTTAGACTTTGACATACTAACGCGAATGTGCAATGTGCACAGCGACAGTGCGTGATATGTTAACACTTTCAATACGAGGCCTATTCTTTTCGAATATATGTATCGTTCGCCCTTTCTCTCTTTTTTTTTCCTCTCCAACATGGAGGAAAGAAAGAGGAAAGGTGAACCGTAGCGAAAAAGCTCAGCTGAAAAAGAAGAGCTTGTTCGTAACTTTGAAGTCGTTCGTAACCGTCGTAGCATTGACATATGGAAATTTAATCAGCTTAGACTGCGTAACTTGAGAGTTATATAGATCACATTTCTTATTCCACTTATTTCTACACATACCGCAGCCTAAGTATGAGCAAATAATTCGAACAATGGATCAAATTATCGCCACGGAAGCGATCAATTGTTGAATGATGCAATTTACCGGGGAAACTGCGAAACTCCCGAGGGACTCGCGCATAACGATCTGCACGTACCTTTTCTCACCATTCTGTCCTTTAGTTTGGTATCGGATGAAGCACCTGAATATGTTGCGCGACAAAATCACTTGCCGATTTGCTCCGAAATAACCGCAATTCCAGATCGAATGAACGATGCTCCGACAGTCCAATTGCGATGTCACCGAGCTCGCCGTCTCGAAACACCCGTCTCGAACGAAGAGTTCGTCCGCGAATAAACGTCTCGACTCTCGAAGCTTCTATATGCACATATATTAAAACGGTAAAGGAATTCCCCTAATTTTCTCAGACCACGTAAAACACCCGATCCGCTGTTCGGTTCGAAATAACTGCTGTGTGTCGTGTGTGTGTGTGTGTGTGTGTGTGTGTGTGTGTGTGTGTGTGTGTGTGTGTGTGTGTGTGTGTGGTGTGTGTGCGTGCGTGCGTGTGTGGTAGGCCCGGTAGGCGCTGCACGTAGAGGGAATGGGGAACAGCAAAGAATAAGAATTTCAAGCCTATCGGAAGCCGCCTACCGTGGCGTACACGGTTTCCGATAGGTTGACAGGATCGCGGCTCCGTGTTTTTGTCCAGCTTTACGCCGACGACGCGCTTTCACAGTCTGTCCTTAGGAAAAGATCCAGAAGATGGCGCGATGCGGACGATCGCCGGCCATATTGTTGGGACCTACGCGACAAACCCAGCTTCCATGAAAACTGCGCGTTTCCCTTCCGCGATCGCGAATGTGTCACATAACCAACGTCGCCGATCTCGGCCGATAATGTTTATAAATATTGGGATTTGACATATGTTACGCGTGTGCCTGCGGCAACTCGGAGCTTCGCGTGGACCCTCCTGCTTCCCCGATGACGCGCGCGCGAGGCATTTCGGGGCTATGCCGATATTAATGTGATAGATCGTCGCCAAAGAAAATCCGTGGAAAAGAAAAAATGACAACTGGCCAGAGTGGGCACGATCATTCTCTCGCTATCAGGCAGGAAATACAACGCTTCGAGAGCGTACACCCGTCGATTTACGCCATTTACGACCTGATAGAGCTCGTGCCCGACGCGCACGTCGCTAAGCAAATTCGCGAGCATGTCGTGGCGATAGAGGGTAATGCATACTTGATTTCATACGTCTGTTTTTTTTACGCTTTCCATTCAGCGCAAGTTGACATAAGCGTCACTCTATCTTCGTTGTCATTGGATGCTGAAGAAAGACAGAATGACGCTTGTGTCACTGAACGAAGAGCGCCCTTACATTTTTCTTCGTGAAGCGAAATATTTCCTGTAGTCGCAATGTACAGTAATGACAATGACACGTTTTAGATAATTAAATGTTGCATATAATGTTATATGTTACGTTCGTACTACATTCAGTAATGTAAGTTTACGTTCGTTTAGATTCCTTCGTCAACAGCCACGAATGGACACTGGCGAGAGATGTCCCTGAACTGCATCTGGGGATCATCGGCTCCTCGGACTCGGGAAAGTCGGCTCTCGTTCACAGGTATCTTACTGGGTCCTTCATGCACGAGGAATCGCCGGAGGGTGGCCGCTTCAAAAAGGAGATCTTCATAAATGATCAGAGTTACCTTCTCCTGATCAGGGACGAGGGTGGTGTGCCAGAGGCTCAAGTATGCAACAGAATCTCATTGTTTCATACATCATGTTCATCTGCCACTGCTTTCTGTTATTGTATTAAATAATAATATCCATTTCAGTTCTCAGCTTGGATAGATGCTTTATTACTTGTATTCAGCTTAGAAAATGAAGAAAGTTTCTCTATAGTTTGCAGTTTGTACAATAGAATGTGTTCTTTCCGGAATATGTCAGAAGTACCAAAAATACTCGTAGGCGTGCAAGGTGAGTACAGCCATGTAATACTCTATGGACATACCTTTTTTTGTTCTTGATAATTTTTCTTATATTTATTTGTTGTATATACACAGCGGTCTTATGGAACTTGTTTTCTTTATTGACTATTCCTTGCATTCATTTTCCTGAGCGCTTTTTTATTTATGATTTTGCAGATTCGATTAACGACAGCAATCCACGTGTCATAAAAGATATCAGACCACGGAAACTGGCTTGTGATTTAAGATGTCCTTATTACGAAACATGTGCTATCTATGGTCTAAATGTTGAGAGAGTATTTCAAGATGGTGAGGGAAATAAGTGCACACGCGTGTTACAAGCTGAAACATAAATATATATTTAAATATATTTAAATTAACTCTGATGTCTGGGTACTAACGACGGAAAAATTTCAGTGTGTCAGAAAATCATACAGAACGTATCGACGAAGAACTTTTCGTGCGACGTGTGCCAACATGCTACGGAGAATGACGTTAAATTTGCAGTCCCTACTGTTACTAAAACCGTGCAACTTCATAACAAAGACACAGAGACTACGAATTCGTTGAAAGTAAATGTGAGAAACAGTTTGTTGGCCACGTTCTTGAATAAATAAAAAAATTATATGCAATTTATTAAAGTTTATAATTTCTCAGGTTTCAGAAAAAGACGAGGACTGTCGATCCATACATAATAGTTCTATGACGAACGACTCGTCATTGCTGAACGATAATTTTCATAACGTGCAGAATCAACATGGAGAACTGCGTTCGTCAATCCTAACGCCAACCACTATCAGGTTTGAATCTACTTTTGTTCTATACTTCTTTCTACAGTTTTATATTGATACATATTGTGATATTTTTACGTTTTCCAGGAAATTTAGAAGAAAATCGAATATATTTACACCTTCTAAAAAGGAGAAATATATGGGCGAGATGGGTGTTGGTAGAGAAATACCAGTGAAACAAGGTTATTTATTTAAACGGAGCAGCAAGTCGTTGAAGGAATGGAAGAAGAAATACGTCACATTGTTAGAGGATGGCCGTTTGACTTATCATTCGAGCCTGCACGTAATTATCAGTTCATATAATAGCTGTCTACTTTATCGCTTTGCGCATTTGTGCGATGTGTTTAGTACAAAGAGAAACATTTTTAGGATTACATGAACGATACTAATGGCAAAGAAATACTTTTGCAATACGTTACTGTGAAGGTACCTGGCAAAACGCCAAAGGGTTCCAAATCATACAATGCCCAAGGTATTGCACTTTACTGTTTTCATGTGCATTTAACGTTTTTTTTTGTACATTTTTATCATTTTTAAACACACCCTTTCTTTTAATCAGAAGACAGTTTTGAATTTTCCATCATCTCCTTGGAGAACAAAACCTGGCATTTCGAGGCGAATAATGCCGAGGAGAGGGACAGCTGGATTACCGCGATAGAGCAGCAAATATTGTCGAGCTTGCAGAACAGCGACGGCGACAAGAAAAACGAGACTGACGCTTTCAAGATGCACTGCATAAAGAACAAAGTTTCGGGGAACGACGCATGCGTTGACTGTGGTACACCGAGTGAGTGGATCATTGTCTTATTAATTATATTTCGCTCAATTAACTCATCTCAAAATTACAAATCTTTTACTTCAGATCCTGATTGGGCCAGCCTTAATCTGGGCGTTTTGGTGTGCATCGAATGCTCCGGTATTCACAGAAACTTAGGTTCGCATATATCTAAGGTACGGTCCTTGGATTTGGACGACTGGTCGTAAGTATGATGCACAAAGAGTCCCACATGCGTTACCGAAACGCGTTCGATTGTACTTCGTCGTCGTTGTCGTCGATGTTCGTTACTAATGATACATCTTTAACGGCGGCTTTAGCGCAGGTCACCTAAGCGTCATGCTGGCTCTCGGCAACGATATAGCCAACAGTATCTGGGAGTATTGTTTAAACGGAAAGCAAAAGCCCGTCTCGGATTCGTCTAGGGAAGAGAAGGAGCAGTGGATCAGATGGAAGTACGAGGACAAGCTCTTCCTGCCGCCGATCAACCCGAACATTTCCTTGGGAAAACTGCTCATCGACTCGGTTTGCCGGTAAGATGTCTCGTTTTCTCTAACCGCAGATGTCGATTAAATGTGGCTGCGTTCCTCACGATTTTATTGTCCACACAGGGGAGACATGAGAGCATTTACATTATGCTTGGCCCGCTGTAATTACGAGGACATCAACATTTCGGTCAGCACGGAAGATCTGCGAACGCCGTTACATCTGGCCTGCGCAACTGGGAACTTGGCGATGGCGCAACTTTTAATATGGGTGCGTGTTAATTTTCCATTTATCTCTGAAAACGCATTCCTTCATGTCACAGCACTGTGTCATCGCGAATTTTGCAGCATAAAGCGAATCCGCAGAATCTGGATCACGAGGGACGGACGTGCATGTCGTACGTGCGAGCTCTGGAGAGAACGCTCGACAATTCGTCCGATTCCATGGAAATGCAGAAGCTGCTCGAAGTGCTGGAACAAGCCAGTGTCTCCGGGATGGACGACGTGGACGCATCTCAGTATTAAAGTTCAAAAAAAAAAAAAAAGAAGATATGCCTTAATCACCCTACCTGCATTTTCTGTAATAACGCGTTGTTGATACTTGTACTTACTATGAAAAACCAATGCTTCATTTAGTGACTCACAGAAGAAAGTAAAGCTTTTAAACGATATTTATCTCAGACAGCCGCCAAAGCACACATTGAAGGAAAATTGATTGGATTATAATAATATTCGATTGAATAACGTAACTTAATTAATTTTATATGTAAAAAGTTTTTGTCGTGTGACGAACTCATTTTAAATATTGACTTCTAAAATTCACCTCGAATTGAGGAATTTTAAATACAATATACTTTTGTACATTGAGAATCAATCCTTTAAAGGAAATATATATATATATATACTTCGCAATACGGTAATTTAATGAGATTTGTGTCAATCACGGAGAAATGACTAATAGCATGCTCGAGTGTATATTGTCAATGACTGAGAGTACAAACACTCATAAATGTAGTTATATTTATACATCCAATACATGTAACTGTATTTGAAGATTTATGAGATTGCTTTTATAACTTTTATTTTATTAATTATTCATTAAAACACAATTACATCACGCACCACGTTTCCAGTTTATTAAAAATTGCACCAGTTCTGAAGTTTTAATTCGTTTCTCAAGTTTCAAGAGTGTTGTTCACAGTTTTCTATACTTCGCCGATGACGATACTGCGCTTATACCATAAACCATTTCCTCCTGTAAATCTACATCGTCTGCAGAAAAAAATATAATAAAATTAGTTGAATTCATTCCTGCACGGAACAAATTTCTTATTTTTTTGGTCGATATTCGATATTTTTGAGTCTGTCGTTTGCTTTACCAGTAGAATATATATTTGTTGGAAAAATAGGTAGCTTGTTGTAATAGGTGATAGTCGTTAGCATCGACGCGGCAGAATGAGACGAAACAGAGGCTCTGCATACAGACGGATCCCTGAAATAAGATAAACATGCAATATGTTTTGCATTACTCCACACGTGAATTTTTTTGTTTAACGTTTTTACATCAACGATAAAGTATTTATACGTACATCTTGTTTAATTCATTAGCCAACACGTTGGGTAGAGGCACCGTCAAGGTGAAAATTCGGCTGCGAAGCTCAGAATAATGCTGTAAAGGAGATTGCGCGGACACGAACTCTTTGTAAACGTAGGCAAATATATTTTGCAAATTTTCAATCGGGCATTCCAGATGCGCTTCAATAAGTAGCATGCATTCCAAACAGATGTGAATTTGTGCTAACGTGTTCAATTTATTCCTGCAAATAATTAATAAAATTACAATTATGTAATATTAATTGAACCTAATCTATTTAATTTACAGAATGTTTCCCGTATTTGTAATTACCTGTAATTCTCCGTGTTGAAGATTCCAGAAGATGTATCACCTAATTTCTGTCGGATGTCGTGCAGATCGACAAATCGCGCTCCTCGCAGGATATATAAGTAATCTCGAGTAAGCTTCTGAAATCCCATATCCACAACAAGTTCTAACGGTACACTTCCCACTAACAAATGGGACATTGTTTCTTGATGATGCAGATTGGAAAGACATTTCACAAATCTTGTTGAATTTGTGTCGTTCATCTGAAAAATGTATTAAAATATGTTCTCACGTACAAATCTTTTAAAATAATAATTGAAATAAGTTGGATAAAGGAGCATATATTTCGTCAGTTACCTGTGGTGTAAATTTATGCTCGAGGATTTCCTTCAAAACAGTTTCAACGTAGTTTACCATTTGCGGATACGCTGAAGTCTCTTTAAATGTCGAGAAGAATACGCAATTAGTCAACAATATATGTATTATAACATATGTGAAGTTAGCACTCCAAAATTAAAATTCCAAAATTCTGATCAGAGTTCCCACTTTATCTTGAAAAGACGAAGAATTCTTTATAGTTTGCTGCTCAGAATTATCGATCATGAATTTTGATAAGAAGTTAGCACTCCATTTTTTTAAATTTAAATTAGAAATTGTTATTAAGTGGAATTCTTGTTATAAACTAGAGGGAACTCTTCGTCTCTTTAAAATGAGGTGGGAACTGTAATCAGAACTACAGAATTTTAATGTGAGATATATATATATATATATATAAAATAAGTGGTACACCTGAAGAAATATTTCACTCACTTATAAGTATTTCCCACAAGTGATCGGTAAAATCTGTATCATGTCTCAGAAAAACACTTTGTACACGTTCCTGCATTTTCGCGTCAATTTCAGCATTCTCCTTATTGATACGATTCCTTTCCTTAACATTGCCCTTATCAAACCATTGAAAATTGAAATCTCCGTTCAGTAAAAGATTTAATTTTTCACTTATGATGTCATGTTCCTAAAACATTGCCACACATAATTCAAGACAATGAAAAATAAATTAAAATCTGTGATTAAAATCTTCTTGAAAAATATTTTCAAGAGGATATATAGAAATGTATCTACCTCTGAATATGGCATTGTGAATTTTATCGGGTTTTGTAGCCCAATATTTTTCTTGCACTCATCTATCGTTGATAAATATTCGACTAATAAAAATAACTGATCTCTCAGTTCTTTTAATGGACTATCCTTCCATCCGGCATTTATTTGAGCTGTCTACAAAAATATTTGTACAGATATGAGATATGAGAATTACTTACAATATTGTCATTCTTTTATGCTAGTACATACTTACCAAAGTATTTTTCGACAGTCTTGAATCTGAATGCATTTCGACACTAATGCTTCCTTCAAAATCACTTTTGGCAGTCTTATCCCAATCGATCGTTTCTTGCTTCATCCTGAATAAGTCAACAGCACTGAACATTTTAGTCTACACATATAAAACAAATCAATTAATGTCCAATATTAAACTGATTAAACTCGTACACATTATACATACACTGTATTCTTGTGTAAACGATTGTTTAAGATGCTCCTGTACAGCTTTCTGACATTTGTTTCTTACTGCGGCCAAACCTATCATGCCAATAGAAACAGCTTCCAGTGTGGTGAACCAATCTTGAGAGACAATCGCGCCGATGAATCTGCTCTGCTTAGAATCCTTCCCGTCACAGAGAGCCAATATTGGCAAGGCATTAGTATCAAGATGTTCCAGACACGCATTCAGGGCATTACTAGAAAAAAAAGAAGTGTATATCTTGTCGGTTATTAAAAATCTCAACTATTGAAGACTTTCAATCCTATTGAATATTATATAATTTTCTTACTAGATATCACAGATATTTGATCTTATTGACTCTGTACACACCATGCATCCGTTCTGCTCAGTGGCAAATATAACTCTTCTTCCTTCCGCCAATTTTGTCTCGCTATGACGACGGTGTCGTCGAATTCGCAGTTACCGAACGAATACTCCAGTGGCGAACCGCTGACCTCGTGCCCTAGAGAACATTTCAGACAATTCAGACTTCATGTACATATTTCCGACGGAGTGTGCAAGCACACTCTTAGAATTAAACGCGCGTTTCATTACTCGTTGAGCACTCGTCGAGATTTGCTTCGTGCTCCTCGTGGCCGGAAGAATGCCGTATGCCAGGAACCTGAGATAAATTGTTGTATTATTATACGAGATCACAAAGGGGGGAAGAGCGAGAGGTTTCATTACGATCACTTACATTTTTATGAAGGATGATGTACGGATCATCCTTGAGATCCGGAAATAATTCGTCCACATATGACAATCTAACTTTGCTCGCTCGAACACGCGGCTGCAAGATATCATTCAAACGTTCCATTTTATTTGCAACGTATGGTTTGAATTAAATGAAATCAAAGATGGCGCGTTCGTAGAGTCATCGATGAGATATTGTAGAGTATGGTCATCGACGAGGAGAGAATTCTCTACCACCACTAATCGTTTTCCACATCCATGTACTGTAAATGCGCATGCGCTACCGTCGTGTCATTTAAAATTTGTCAGTCTAAAAAAATGAGAAATTTGTATTAAATTTAGCTTTTATCGTTATTATGTTTTTGACTTTTATACATGTGTATGTACGTTCTATGGCATACTCATATTTTTATGAAAAATACTTGGTGTTAAAATATTTAACACCAAGTTGCTCACATATCTTGTTCGCATATATTTAATAAATTTATGGAATACTCACATCTTTATGGAAAAGGTTAATTACTTTAACACCAAGTTGCTCATATATTGTTCTCATATATTTAATAAATTTTTTGCTAAAACATGATTCTCCGCAAGAATAACAAATCAATTTAAATTTATGTACAAGAATGTAATTATGACGGTAAATGCAATTAGTATACAACATAATGTCTGTTAGAAACACAATTTCATCAAGATACTCTTGTCATTAATATAAAATTGAGATAAACTTAAAAAAGTAATATATAAAGTTAACATATAAAAAAATGTCCAAATAATTTCTGTGGATCAAGTTAATATTTAGATTTTTTTACAGCAAGCCTCATGTTTCTGGATCCGGTTGGGTATGAACTTTCTCTTGCATTTTTTACAGGAAATTAATTGCGCAGTGTGCTCCTCCCAATCGATTTTTTCTTCTTTAACTTCTGAAACCCATTGCATAACATAGTTTGTAGAATAATTTTTGTTATATTAAGAAATACACAATTTATACGATTTCTATATGTGTCGTAACTACTGTTAATCAATTCTCATTATAAAAAAATTTGATATATTTATTTCATTTTAAAAATTTTAATACCTTTTTAATTATAAGTAATTAAATATTAAAGAAATGTAAAAAAAATAATTTTTAAATTAATTTTAAAATTAATTTTTTTTTAAGCAATTTAATTTTTATATAATCTTAATTATAAATATTAAATAGCACATTAAAATTAAAAAATGTACAACGATTGTCAGGATTGGAAAGATTCCACAAAAGAATGACAGATTAAAAAACTTCTAAATTTGTATATAAAATATTGTTTCGTAAACAGTGCAATTTATATTATTTATATCAAGCATTAATATACCTGGGGTAGACATCACCACTTTTTCAATTGATTCAGCTGAATGTGGTTGAGGCTGTGATTGAGACTGAATCGCGTTTTCAACCTCTGGTGATTTCTGAAGTTTCTTCGGTGGTGTTCGTGACAATTGATGTCTTGGTTTCATTGGATTAAACGGTACCTGTAAAAAAAACAAATATATTAACTTTATTAAATAAGAGAGAATTATAAAACCTTTTAAAATTATAAGATATATAATTTATAAGATATATTAATTTCGCATTTAATCGAAATCTTTTTTTTATATCTTCTATATTAAATAATTTTTTTAAATATCTTAGAAATTTTGGAATATTTTGAATCAAAACAGTTATCATTCTTTTTCGTGATTTTAAAAATATTAATCTTATAAAAAGTACTATATTAACTTTAATTTTGAATCATTTGTACTCATTCTTACATTTTCTATGAAATCTCGCTGTTCGTTATTCTCCTCTCTCCTCTGCTTCCTGTTTTTCTTGAGTTCCACATTGTTGATCTGTGTATTTGTCTGTGAGTTTTGGATAACTGTGTTGCTTTCACGGAAACTAAATTGGACATCACTAAGTTGAGTTTCTTCAAAATTTTTGTCAATCTCTGTCACATTTGGACTGAATAGGCCCACATTGTTCTTAGGTCTCTCTTCCCCTTTCTTTTTGATTTGTCTTTTAGGAGTAGCATCAATTCTGTTAACATTTTCTTTGTTTTCTTCGTTTTCCAACTTCTGTAAATTATCAATAAAATTTCTTTTAAGTTGTTATATGTGTAACAAAAAGATATTTTACATTCAGACATAACATTACCTTATTCTGGCATATGTTTTCGTCACATTTACATGACGAGTTGCATTTGTTATTCTTTTTCACGCAACCACAAATCCGCGACGAGCAGGATCCCTTGCAACCGCAATTAGATTTTTCAACGCTGACTGTAGTTGCCCATGGAGTGACATTCATAGCCTTATGACGTGCAACATCGTCAGGCTTGTTAGAAGCTTCCACATGGTGTCTTAAAACATTATTCTCGAGCTGCAATACTCTCACTTGTTCCTCCAACTTGGCAAATGCTATGAGACTGTCGAAATCATCGGTCTGCGTGCTTGTGTGTTTTCTGCTAAAAAGTCAAAATTTACAATCTTATTACAATCATTAACACAATCATTAATATATTTAATACAATGGAAGATAATGATACAGAACAGAATTGCCATAGATAATTATTATGATTTAATAACAATGATAAATATGCTGAAAGGTAAGGCAACTCTAATTGTCTTAGCCTAGACATTTGGTGATGTGGAAAGCTAAACCCATGCAAAATATAGCTTTGTATATATGAATTTACGACTTAACTTTCCATGCAAAGCAAGATATTGCCCTTAAATTTACAATTTTCCATGTAAAATTTAAATTATAGACATACATTTATATTATCAACCTTTTTTTATTAACAACTTTGTATAACGAACAACGATCGATGATTAAAATCTTTTGAAGGTTGTTGACGGTTACAACCTTAACAACAAATGTCAAGGAAGTCTATTCTGGAAATTGGTGAAAATCACAAAAATGAGCGAATTGCTAGAATATTTGTAACTTCACTGCGGTCACTGTCTAATGAATTTGCTCATTTCTGTAATTTTTACAAATTTCCAAGGACCGTAATAAGTCCCAAGGTCAAGATAAGTGGGACTGCGTCTGCATATAATCAACATTTTTGCTACGATATGATAATTACTGCACCGGTGATGCTTTTTTTGAGATAAAAACGAAACAGACGTGGGATTCTGAAATGATCCGGTTCTCGCTTACCTGGCACTTTTAGCGCTCGGTTTTGTTCTCTTCATTATTATTTGTTACTTGAGACGTGCTCGGCAACTTGCGGTTTACAGTACTAGACCATCTCAAACGCGGACACGTCGACAAGCACCGAAACACGACACCCGGCGCAACTGTTAACAATGCGATCGGTAACGGACTCAAACGGATTTCGGCGGATTCCCTTTAAAGTTTAAATCGAAACATATGAGAGAAAAGGGGATGATCCTCAGCACCACCTGGACCGGAAAAACCGCGAACTAGAGTCACGTGACACTTTGGAGGTTAGAGGTTAGAGTTGTGTACCAAAGATCATGCGTGTGCGCCTTTACGCATATACACGAGGGTGTCTCTGAAAAAAATCAATTAATATAATCAATCCTTGCTGTCTCTACCTCTCTGGTCTCTACGATCGTAGAATGTAGAGAGGCAAAAATTCGGTACTGCTCGTTGCTACGATCATCGAGATTTGGAACATTCGGATTCTAACCTTTGGAATGTTCTAGAAACGTTTCTAGAAAGTCTGACAAAATCAGACGAAACCTGGGAAAAGGGTGTCTCGTGAGAGAAAAACATTTAAGCGACATTTATCGAGGTGCTCTTCCAAAAATCGAACGGACAGTGGATAACTCAAACGTCAAATAGATCCTCTCGAGATGTCACAGGAGACGGGTCTGTTGCACTGTTATCATCGCGGCTGCGGGAAGAAGTTCGATCCGAACGACAATAAGGACGGTAAGTTGCTCGTTGCGCTTTTGAAAACCGCGATTATTATTATTTTTTTTTAAATTCAATTGACAGCTTTTACGAGAAAGAAAAAAAAAATGCTCTTACGGCTTTTTTTTGCAGACGATTGCTTTCACCATCCAGGACATCCGGTGTTTCACGACGCGTACAAAGGATGGTCCTGCTGCAACAAAAAGTGTACGGACTTCACCGAATTCCTGAATATCAAGGGCTGCACAAAGGCTAGGCACTCGAACGAGAAGCCGTTGGAGCCGGAGAAACCGCCGGTCGACAGATGCAAGGTTGATGAGGTGATACAGGTCGTCGCGAAACCCGTGAGTAACGGTGTTGCGTCCCTGCCGAGGCCTCCGTTCGACGTGCCTCAGCTCACGCTGTCGCCGACGATATCTCCCGCTCTGCTGGAACAAATTAAAGGGCTGACAACTCTGGAGAGCGACAAACCGATAGATAATGTAGTACGGATAGGACAGTCCTGTAAGAATAATTCCTGCAAGGGGACCTACATGGGAATCGCCTCCAACAAGGAGGTTTGCAATTATCATTCTGGTGTACCTATCTTCCACGAGGGATTGAAATATTGGTCCTGCTGTCAAAAGAAAACTACAGAGTTCTCCGTGTTTCTGGAACAGCCGGGCTGTACGCAAGGCAGACACGTGTGGTTTTCCAAGGTATATCAATTATAGATAAATATCGATTTTAAATATACATAATATTTATTATTGAAAATTAACGTTTACGTAAAATTTGTTTCAGAATACGGGAAAGAAGGCTCAATGCAGGATGGACTGGCATCAAACCGGATCGTTTGTAGTCGTTTCTATATTTGCCAAAAAATATCTGCCCAGTCAGTCTGTCATAAAATTGAACCCTATCCATCTGACTGTAGATTTATTCTTTATAGAAGAGAATTCGAGATATAATCTTGATGTAGAATTGGCAGGAGTCCGTATTGAGTTTGTTCTAATTTTGAACACATGTATATCTAACGAAATTGAACGGTATTTACAACGTACATTTATCTTTTCCTTTTTTAGATCGTCGATATCGAGCAAAGTAGCGTACACATGCTGCCAACTAAAGTAGAAATTAAATTAAGGAAGGCCGAATTTGGTTCTTGGTCGAAGCTGAACGTTCCTAGAGAAGCAAAGCCGATGAACTCTGAAAGTAATGAAAATATATGTACAAACCTCAATTCGCAAATTGAAGCTGTCGATCTTAGTGATCTTTAAATACCAATGGTTGTTAATTATTAAAGATTATACATATATATAATTAAATCATAGCAATTCAAATAATTTGTTCAAAAATGTGAAAGAAACATTTTCTAACAAAAAAATTGTATTGACACCTTTTTATATTAACCCCTAGGAATCTATAGATAGAAATGTATTCTTGTTTTTTTCATTGTTAAATCAGAAAAGTCTAAACTATAAATGTACGTAAAATGCACATTTTTTATGAAATTAAACTATTTTTTCCAAACTCTTAAAAAAAAAAAAAAAGAGAAACTAGTGTTAATAAATAATTTAAATAAATATTTTATTAGAGAGATTCTTTTCCTATGAAGCATGTGAGTTACCATATGTATGATAAACTTGCCTTTATAAGTGCGTAACAATCCAAATTTCTCTATTCTATTCTAAATTTTCTTCTCGAAGTCAAGTCACAAAAATTAGTTTAGGAGATTGATTGTGAGATTATTTGGAATAAAGAAAAGTTAAGAAAAAGATATTCAAAGAATATGATGGTTGTGTGCGTCTATATGTATATACATAATATACATATATAATACATATATATGTATACTCTATATACATGTCATACATGTATACACTAACCTTTTTGATCATGAGAGGCATGCGTGTCGTCTGTTTACCTGAAAAGTCGAATGATATTGAATGATGCTGACCACCACACCGAAATTGCGGGTAAATAATTATTACCGCATTGAAAATGCATCAATAAATATACGTATATTATAGAAACAATATAAAAATTCCTCTTATTTTAGATATTAGCGCTTCACGGATATAGGCAATCGGACGTGATTTTCAGCGCGAAATTAGGATCGTTGAGAAAAGGATTTAAAAAGGAAATTGATTTCACGTTTGTAAGAGCACCACATAAAGTCCCACCCGAAAATGATGCTGGTCAAGAGGACACGGATGAAAATGGTGCGAGAGAAATATCAGTAAAAATCTTATATTATTATCCTGCACAGCGGTTGCATCATGACTTACAACAAGCACTAACGATATTGTTACGTATTGATTGTAGGATACGGCTGGTGGTTTAATACAGAGGATCATGTGTTTAAAGCCGTGGTGCCCAGTGACTTATGTGTAGGATTCGATGACAGTGTAGCTGTGATCGAGAAGGCATTCACAGAGCAAGGTCCTTTTGACGGTATATTGGGTTTCTCGCAGGGAGCTGCTTTCGTCAGTATATTATGCGCTATGAAAAAAAAGAAAAGTAAGTTTAAAAATAATATATATTTACAATTTATTAATTATATATATATATATATATATTGATACACACATGTGTGCGTATATAAAATAACTATGATTGCTGTCTTCTTGTAGTATTGCAAATTGAGTTTGATTTTGCCATTATAATATCCGGATTCAATTCACTGTGTGCACCTCACGCCAAGTATTATGACGAAGAAATCGATATACCTTCCTTGCACGTTTATGGGGAGAGCGATCAAGTCATTCCAACAGGTATACGATGAATAACTTAATATTATTAATAATAAAATGTAATGGGTTTAATATTATTAAATATAATTGGTGGTATTCAGTAACAAAGTCACATTCAATGCTATGTCAATGCTAATGCAATCGTTATTTATTCTAGTAATGGCAGAGCAAATCAGTCGTCTGTTTCCAAATAAGAAAGAGGTACGGCACGAAGGTGGTCATTATGTGCCGAGTAAAAAAGATATTTATAGGGACTTTGTAATGGAAATGCTTAACAAGTATAAGAAATTAAATAGTTAACAATGATCTCATTTTATTACTATAGTCTATTCGGCTGGCATGCAATTCTATTGGAAAAAAATTCAATTTATTTGTGTACATGAGTAAGAGGATTTTTTAAAAAATATTAAATAAAGATGTGTAATCATGTACAATATATATTTTTTTCGCTATCACGATAGCATGACATTACTCGTGTGTGTTGTTACAAGTCTTATCGTAACGTACAGTTAATGGTGTTGCCATCAGTTATATAAAACTATATAAGTTAGACAATAATTAATAGGATACAATATTATTGAACTAAAGACCATTAATTGGAGCATCATATTTTACATTCATGATTGTGTATCGTGTACCAGGTTCAGATCTAATACGACGCGACTACCGAAATTAGCAATTTAGACATCCACATTAAAGTCATACGCGTCAAATGCATATTTTACAAAATATTGCATCTAATTTGTTGATACAAGGAAAAATACGTATATAGAATAAATGAAAGAGAGCACAGAAGCAAAATATTTGATTTGAAGGTATTAAAAAGGTATTTAAAAAAAAAAAAGATACTTTTAAAATAATTAGGCTATATGTACCTGTAACTTAAATGTAAGCTGAGGTATTTATATTTCGCGTGTTGACCAAACAGAACACTTATGTTAATAATTTTATAGCTATATAAATTTGGTTTGATGCACGTTAATGAGCAGAACTTTTTTTTACTTTTATTATCACTTTCAGTCTAATAATCGAAGTACAAATCAGTACTCATCACATGTCCCTTATAAGACTGAAGATTGCGTGACTATATATTATAGCATCCTCATTTTAAATTGAATATTGAAAAATTTTGCAGCTCTGAATATTTCTTATATAAAAGTTGCATGTTATCTAATAATTCGTATATATGGTATTCGATACCATTGTATTATTCACACTCTAATATTCAGTATTCACATACTGCGGGTATGTAAGATTTGCCTTTCTGCCCATTCCATTTTTACCATCCAGAGCTGCCCTGACGATTACTAAATTGCGCGGAACACAAAACTTCATCGTCGATGACCGCAACGTCGTGCGCGTCGTTTCAAGGAGACTGCTCCTGGCCGTTGTTTTCCTGGGACTTCATAACGTCGGGGAGATCCGGCGGTAGCGAGAACGGTGTCATCTCGAGAGGTTCGAACTGGCCGTCGGGTTGACGCAACGCTAAACCGACCAATGCGGGACACTGTGCTTTCGCGGTCGACGATGTCAGTCCGTAATCCTGTAGCGTCTTGTTGTCTGACATCAGAAGGTTGTCCTTGTTGAACAGCTGTTGATTTGCCGGTGGTACTTTCATTATACCTGCAAAAGAGCGAAGAGGAACGCGTGTTGATTGCAGTATTGAAACTGATGGTTTCACCTTTTATAGAGCGCTCTTAGTTATTAATACTTATAAATTAATGTTTTTCGTACGATAAATAAAATTATTCCATTGTCTACTGGCACAATTTGTATTCCATATACACTACTGATCGGGCTGCTACGGCTCGCTCAGTGAAACCGGGAGGCAAATCGCGCTCTATTGAAGTGATAATCATCCAATTGTGTGAATCCGCGCCGAGCGACATGTCAAGCTGATCCCGTTGTCACAATCGTACGCGCGGTGTTGCGATACCTTCGCGCGCCTTACCTTCAATCATCTTCTTCAGCTCGAGGACCGTGGTGTCATCCTTCGCGTCGGTGAATATCGTCAATTTTTTTCGCCTGATCATTAAAAATACGTCCTGCAACGGGTGTAAAAAGTCGTGAGTGCGATCCCGAGGTTAGCCGACCCGAGTCGTCCACCGAACCGTCCATCTCGAGGACGGGTTCTTACCATTGTAAGCCTAATTATATACACCTAATATTACAATGCAACGGCAGGATTAGTATATCGCCGCTGGGATATACGAGGGCCGTGTTTTAATGCCTCGAAAATCTTGTGTTTACCAGCAGACCTAACGGGGGTCAGGGGTACCGGACCCACCAGGCCGCATGCAGTAACCCCAGATCGTGGGAATTTACCGACGCATGCGCGTCCCTGCTTAACGCGCATGCGCAGCCGATCTGTTGACTATTGTCATCATTCTGTCTTTCTTATGTTTCGTACTACGCGCAAATCGCAATCTACTTACTTAAATAAATTTTCTGCCATTAGTTTGGCTAGCTCATTAGTTTTTTTTATTTTGCAGTTAGTGTTGCATTTTCTTATCATTTTTTTACAATAGTTGACTCTAGTGCTTAGAAGGTGATAGAAGGTATGTAGGTAGGTTGTAAACTGAGAAATAGTTGACTTAATTTATCCGTAGGTTTTGTATGTAGTACATATAATGTTGCACAGCTGTTTTTTTATTACAAGGAAATTTTTGAGCTTTGGTGAAGCTAAGTGATCTTTGCATCGCACTATTACTTGATATTGGCTGTATGGAGCAAGAAATCTGATGACAGATCTTCTTCGATTAAGGATCTTCCAGAAGAAAGAGTTGCCACTTCAAGAATCAAGTGATATACAAGCTTTGCAGTATAATAGTTATATATATTATTAAAGTACGCAACTTACAATGCCTGTTCTTTTTAGCTGAACTTCTTGCATGGTTCATTCAAAGATCAACTGCGCAAGAAGCTCGGCTAAAAATTACAGACCTATACTGTAAGAAAGGCACGCATATTAATGTCAATATTTTTTATTTTCTTATAGGGCAGGAATATGTCTTTTCATCGTACTAACTTGTATCGTTGCCATTATGAATATGTCGAAAGAGTACCTATGGGCGAGGAGAATCATGTTAACTTTATCCAACAATATGTGAAAACAGTTCGCAGCTTCAGTTCTCAGTATGGCGGCAACGATAGCATATCTTATGCAGCTACTAACATAATCGGGTTACCTGGCAAATTTCCGTATTACGGAGATTTTCCACATACATTTGCCATGGTACGTATATTTCCTTGCATCATCTGTTATTGGTCTATAGAAAGCGATTTATAAACTGTTCTGAAATATGGATTCTTGAAATGGTTATCTCATATTCTTTTACTCATTGGAATGTTCTTTTTGAGGATGATGCATGCACTTTCTTACACGGTACATCTTCCCCTCTTTTTCTCTTCTCGTTGGATAAAAAACGCGAGAAAAGATGAACGGTGCATGCACCGTCGTCAAAAAGAACATACCACTTATAAAATCAATAATAAATATATCACATAAAGATTAGTATAGAATGTGAGATCTATTAACTATAACTTGGTTACTTCTAACTGGAGACATCTAATTCCCAATAATAGCAATTTAATACCATCACCAAATTTTATAGTATTTGACATTTTTCGACTTATTTTTTTAATACAGAAAACTTATGGACCGTGGTGGGACAAAGCACCCTCGAGATCAATTGATTACATGCCACAGAATACAGATGTTGCGAGCCAAGATTATATCGGTATGTAATATTGTAATAAATAAGAGGTTGTTACAGAATACATGTTTCTTATTGAAAGGAGAGATTATAATTGTATTTTTTATTTTAAAGATATCGAGTATGATGAAACTGTATTTCCAATCAGAGTTTCTATATACGAGATATATAATCCTGGTAGCGTAATTCGAATTTGGGCACAAGATTCTAAAAATCGGTGGTTTCTCCTGTGGAACGGACCGCCCCAGACTGTTCCTTCGGCATCGCGGATATTTTCCCCGCCTTTACAACCGTGCAACTTTAGGACCAATGTACTTAGACTGGAGTTTAACCACAGTTTATTGGACTATTATACAGAGCTAGACGCTGTGATGCTTATCGGCACAAAAAGATTGATCATTCCTAAATATCAATCTCACAAACAAAGTTTAACTTGTTTGTTAAAGAGTTTTAACAATAAGTATCCCTGTCGCGAGGACATCCATAATTTGACACCAGATTATACAAACGCACACTTGGATATAGCCCATCTTAAAAAGACATTGAATGAATATTGCATTATGTGTAAAAGGTATTACAATTCGTCAATATCAAATAATATTTGTTTTTTTTTTATTCTCCTAATAACGAAAGTAAGTTTGTACTAATGTTTATTTGTAGCGATGTAGTAGCGAATCTTCACGAGAGCAAGCTAGCATCTCAGCTAGGACCATTTTATTATTATGTACCACCTCTTAAAGAAGCATCCAATAGTATGCAGCGTTTTTTATCCGAAGAACTTCCAACGTTTATGAAGGATATTTCTTCAGACGAATCCAAAAAGCTGTCACGTGGCAGTTTTTCTGAATTTCCTGTAAGCTATATACATATATAAGAAGTCTTTCGCACACATGTAATGATATTTATTGTAATGTTATTCCATTTATTAAAATTTTACCTTGCAGGATGAAGTAATAATAAGAATATTGAGATACTTGGACTTGAAATCGTTATGCTGCGTAAGCAGAGTGAACAAACATTTCAATAATTTAGCACAGGACCCTCTGCTTTACACAAGTTTGAACTTAAAGCCATATTGGCATATTATTAATGCAAAGGCATTGTATTACTTGGCACCTAAATGTAAATATTTACGACGGTTGGATCTTTCGTGGTGTGACAAATTCTCTGTCTCGGATTTCGAAAAATTTCTTGATACCTGCGGTAGTCTCTTAACGCACTTACGGTTAAATTGCTGCACACATATCGACGACTCCGCCATGCTTAAAATCTCGAAGATATGCAAAAATTTGAAAGGTGTGTATACAAATGACTTATATACATTATTATGATAATAAGTGAATTATATGATCAGTACGTATGTATATATTTTTTTATTTTTCTTAGAATTGAGTCTACGTAATTGTGACTTGATAAAGGACAAGGGATTCTCATATCTCGAAAGTCTGGAGTTTCTCGAGCGTTTAGATCTGTACAGAACGCATATAAAAACACAAGCTCTTTGCAAGATACTGCAAAGAAATCCACGGATGCGCCACTTACACATAGGAGGCACGGACAAAAGTTTGAACGTAGACGAAGTTGCAATGGAATTGAGAAACTCATGTCCGGATTTGGAAAGTATAGATTTATGGAAAACGCACAGTCTCACGTCGCAAGGTATTGATGCCCTCGCTGACTGCAGGAATCTACGAGAAGTGGACTTTGGTTGGTGGTACGTGCACGTGTACATTATTTTTTCTTAAATAAAATACGTGTCTTGCGCTTTCTCTAAAATATTAAAATTCATTTATGGGATGAAAAATCTAATCTAAGACTTGCTAACTATGATTTGGCAATGATGTTTCTTTCTCCTGCATTTGAAACAGCTGCGTTTTTCTGTTTATGATTGAAGGGCTGTTCTAATCATATGTTTTTCATTTACAGTGGCAGTACGACCGGCCATGGCGACAGCTTCCGCAGGTTGCTTTCCTCGTGTCAATATTTGGAAAAAATTTTTCTTACCTCTTTCAGAGGCCTCACCGAACGCGATTTGAGAGCATTGACGCTGTGCAAAAATTTAAAACAGTTAGACTTATTAGGTACGCTATCCCTGACATCTGAGATATGTTACTTATTTTTCGTGAGCTGTCCTAAGCTGGAGATGATTGATCTCAGCTTCTGTGACAGCATTGCCGATTGCACGATTGAGCGGTGGCAACAAATGTATACACATTTAGCAATCAAAAGAGTAAAATATAGCGACTGATGTTAGATCTAATGAATTTTAAGATTCAATGTTGGAACAAACGATATATGATTTTGAGAATTATTTATTTTTCAAAATACGCTAAAGTGTACCTGTTGAAAAAACAAAATAAATTTGTTTTAATTATACATTTTATATTTAAATCTATTTATTTCTATAAACGTAACATTAAAAATTATATCCATTAGAAAGTAAAAATTTATGTTTAAGGTAATTTAAAAAATTTTATTTATGTTGAAGTAATATAAAAGAAAATCTCATTTTATGATATGGAATAAAATCAAATTGCATTGTGCTCATTTTACATTATAACATCGGGAAATATGTCGATTGCAAAATTTTATCCTAATTGGATGAAATTTTATTTGTCTTATCATAAAAACAAGTTCTGGGAATCGAGAATGCAGTTTCAGTACCTTTCGTGCCTACTGTCAAAACAACCAAAACTGTAATATATTTCCATATATGTAATTCGCGTTTTGTTCTATTTTCTTCATTAAAATTACTTTATATTAACAGATATATTTAATTTTTCCAGTTTTATGAATTTAAAGTAAAACTTTACAATACTTTAATGTACTTTAATACTTCTATTAAATATATTTAATTTCACGTTAATATTTAAATATATAGTAACTATAAAGTACCCAAGCAGAACGCAAGTCAACTTGACGTCAAAATGATTATTAAAAGTCATTTTTTAATCAGCCATAATTCATTTAAACGTCATTTTGAACGTTATCGTAATCTGTTCTGCTTTGATATTTGTAGATGTTATAATTAATATTTGATTGAAACATTTTTGAGAGAAGATTTCTTTTGTTGTTTGAATATAACTTTACAACTTTAACAATTAACGTTGATGTTTATAATAAAGAGAATATTTCAATAAATTTTTCATAAATTTCAATTAATTAAAAATATATCATTTAAGCCTCAAGTCTAATCGTTTCTAAAGCCGTAATCACAACTAGTGATTGAGATTGGATTGGACCAATTTCAGAAGAAAAATAATATTAATTTCAGTAAATTTTGCTTTGATTGGTCAAATCACTCAAATCTCAATCGCTTGGTGTGATTTCGGCTTAAGAAGTTTTAAGGATTTTTTTTTACATAGAAGGAACATATTTAACCCCGAAACACGTGTTGTTATTTTTTATTTTACATCGCATTCGATTTAAAATAAAATCTTATTAAGCGATCTGCTTGGCGTAAAACGCGAAAACAAAAACAGCAGATCGTTTCTCTGGTTACGCGACGCGCGACAAATACGCTTCATGTAGCTCCATTAGCAAAAGACCCTAGGGGCTAGAGTTTTCCCTCGTCTAGGGATTCTAGAGCTTAACAGCCGTTGACGTCGCCTGGCGGCGATGATGGGAATGAGAACGGGAACGACGGCTACCGATCACCGGATCACACAGTGCGCGCGCATGTGTGTGCCGTGCCGTGTGAGAGCACAGTTCAGTGGTGTGTCTCGCGTGCGTGTGTATCGTCGACTCGACGACGGCGGATGGACGGGCGGACGTGTTAAACGTGCGGAAAGTGGCAGCGGTCGGAACAGAGAGAGAGAGAGAGAGAGAAAGAGAGAGTGCGCGTGAATCCTGGTGACGCCGTCGCGACGACGTACCGCGTACGTCGCGTGTCCCGCGCGTACGTCCCCGGACACACGCGAGTTCCCGGAGTGAATGGGGCGAAGGAGGAACGGCGGCGCAGGTACGAGCAGCACAGGTACGGAAAACATCGTCGTTGTGTCCCTCCCCCGAATGGAATTAGGTTACCGCGGTGCGGCGAACCGGACGGATCCGGATTGATGCTACGAGACAGTGCGAGATATAGGCGACAAGTGCGCGTCGTGACCGCGACGAGGGAGGAAGAAGTGCCCCCGCGAGAGTTCGCTCGTACGTTCAATTCACGCCTCTCGATATACTCGCGCTCGCGTGCGTGTGTGCATGTGTGCGGGCGCGCGCGCGCGCGTTTGCGGCGTCTGTACTGGATCTCTCGGATCTTCCGTGTCTTTTTCTTTCCTCCCTCCCTCCCTCCCGCTCGCCCCCCGTGTCTCCCCCTTTCTCTCGCTGTCTCTTCGCCTCTGTCCGTCTCTCCCTTTCTCCTCACGATTTTCCGTGCGTGTGCGACCCGTCTCCCTTGGATGTCTCCCCGATGCCGCACGAAGGCAGGTAGTGGCAGCTACCGAAGTGGCGGCTATCGAAGGGCTATTGCCGTCACCGTCGTCGTGTTGTGTCAACGTAACCCACGGCAGCGGCATCGCGGCTACCACCACTACCACCCAGCAGCACCACCACCGACGCCTCTTCAGTAATTAAACCGAACAAAATGGACACCGAGATAACGATTGAGCGAACATTCGTGTGGTAGCCCCCTCCCCCTCTATCTCCCCCAGCCTCCTCGTTCTCTGTGTTTTCCGTCTGTCCCATCGCCCTTCCTCCCCTCCCCCCTCCCTTCCCCCTCGATTTCCCTCGTCCCGCCGTTCATCTGGAATCTCTTGTTTTCTTTAGATGGACCTCAGGGAAAAAAAGATGGGATCACCGTTCGCACAATTGTGAGTCCTGCTTCTGTACCGATCGTTAATGCGGAAAGCAAAACCCGCTCGCAACGTGAGTGACGTGAGTTCCGCACGCACGGTTCACTTCACCGGTATCGACATATCTGGATGTCTACCCTAGAGCTGTCACCCTTCGCCCTGCTCCCTTGGCCGATCTCTTTTCCTCTTTCTTTTTTCTTTTTCTGGACTAACCTAGAGTGTTGTCTGTACGCAACGTTCCGAATGCCGCTTCCCACCTCGGCCACGCGAAGTGTAACGCGGTGTGACCGAGGGGAGGCAGATTTTCCGAGAATTCAAATCTCTCGCGACGGGCGGTCGGCGTGTGCGACGATTTGTCTCTCCCGTTTAGCGACACGCGGATCGTGACCAGCTGCACGAGCGTTTTCTCCGACGTCGCTTTTCCATGTATAGGAGTTAATTGAGACAACCGTAGTGAGAAATTCTGCCGCGCTTGAATTTTTTTTTCTCCGGCACAAGTTATACCGATATCGAGTTCGTTGCGTCGCCTAGGCATTTGACATTGCGGGACGCGACCCATGTGTTTTGATTCTCTCCTTTTAAAGGGCTCCACGCACGATTGCTGTGTGTGTGTGTGTGTACGTGTGTGTAATAGCCACGACAGTTTAAGATATATGCGAACATTTTTTAATATCGAAACGCGAATCCCCGTTCGATTCGTGTCAGCAAAATCCTGATGCATGCTTCTCGAAGGATTTTCCCCACGTTCACTCGTGAGTGGTGATCCTTCATGAAATCCTGTAGGTAGGACTTTTTATATATAGAATCTTAACACGCTCGATAAGGACGAGGATGCATTTCGAACTTTGTTCTAACAAACAACCGTTAAAGGGATCGTTTTCGGGCATGACATTTCGAGGATTTCTTCGAGAAGAAAAAGTTGTAGGAAAGTAAATCGAATTGAGTGCATGACGCTAACGGTTCATTTCGCCGCCGGAGATGCCCGTCTGTTTTAACTTTGGAACTAGTCGAGATACGGAACGGCCGAGAACGGTCTTCGGATACCATTGAAGTAGTAGCGCGAGAGAGAGAGAGAGAGAGAGATTCGGCCGGCGTCTTCCTCGACACATTCGTCCTCGCCCTCGTCCGTTGTTCCCGTGGCTCCGTCGCGCTGTCGCGTTCGGCTGCCATTTGAGCGTGGCACATCGAGAGATGTATTCGAATCGATACCTGCGGAATACGATTGGTTAATCGAATATCCTACGCGCGGCTATCGGACTTTATAAGCTAAAATCTGATTGGTCCTCTTTCTCGTGTAATTTCGACTCCTGTCTTGCCGCTACCAATTGCGCGGTGCGCCTTTACCCCGCGATATTGAATACCCGATGCGTTGCCAGTGCGACTCGTCCGTATAGCGTTGTTCTCCCGCCGTCTTTCTCTCTTCCTCCTCTTTTCTCTCTCTCTCTCTCTCTCTCTCTCTCCATCTCTCTGTCTCCCGCACCGTTATTGCCTATCCTTTCACTAAATTCGCATGACTCCATATACATACACGCATACACGTATATACACACGGATCCATAAATCTGTCCGTTGTAAAGAGAGCACGAGCACACACTTTGCAAGACTCATTTTCCATTTTTCTTCACATTTCCGACAAGCGACGCGCCGTAATTAAAGTTTCCCATTTGGCGTATCGCAAGTTCGATTGTTATCGTGCAGTTGCCGTTTTGTTTCGTCGCATTACCGTGTCCCGCTATTTAATTATTGTAATAATTACGATCCCTGTATGAGCGAGGGATACTTGGAAACTTTGTTTTGGCGACGCGATACTCCTGTTTCAGCGTTTAATCCTGGAACGGCAAACATACTTTTGTACGTTCGCGAACTATTTTTACACGCGTGAGTCTGGCGAGAATTAATATTTTTTGACGTTTCTCTTTCTGTCCAATATAGGACGTGAATACTAATCGTAGAAATACAATTACAGGATTAGAATCCAAGCACTTGCTTTCTAAATCGCGAAGTACGAGGAGAAAAGTTTAAACGAAAGAGAGGAACGCCGACGACTCGAAATTATCGCCGATTCTCGCAACGTGTGTATTTCTGATTGTATAGAATTAACTTACTCGCGATATCGATAGCGATCGAAAAATCTGACGTTAATTTCGAGCGACGGGAGGAACGGGAAGCCGCACGTAAAACTCTCTCTTCAGGATCTGAAGCAATTCAGTACTCAGAGAATTCGGGATAGAACTTTATCTATACAGCTCCACCGTGTTTCGTTTTTGTGTAACACGAAAAGCATTTGAAGAATCAGAGAACACATGAAATGATTTGTACACGTTTGAAATGTCAGAATACACGGCGTACGAAACTGTCGGTAGAGCTGCTGCGGCATCCCGAGATTTCCATCTGACGGGAATTTGTAGGCTGTCCGAGATTGTGAGATGGACTTAAGCTCGTGTCACACACTATAACGCTATTGGAATTGAAGATCGCGAATCGGAGATTAGAATTCGGCCGATTAGATTTAATTTTTAATCTGACTCGCTTCGCTCTGATTGATTGAATTCCAATCCCTTTACAATCCTCGAATTTTCGTTGCGTGGTGTGACATGGGTTTTAGAGAGAATATTTTCAATACGATCGCCGATCGAGGGGATCCGCGAAAATCCGGATACGCGGCGTGATATGAAAAGAGTGTTTTCGCGCCGCGTCCGCGTATTTATCTGCGATCGTATCATCGGACACAATTAGCGCGTTTGCGGAAGGAATGGCATGTATCGCCAGTATGCGACGTGCGCGACGAGAAAGGCGCGAGGAAGGGACGACAGGTCCGCCCTTTTCGAATCCGCATGTCATACTCCCTGCCGGTTCAAACTGAAAACAAGTTGTACAACATTAATTAGACGTGAAGGACAAAAATCTCTTCAAGGAGAGACACTCGCCTTGTATTTCCAAATTCACTGTCGGCGTGGAAAATCTGTATTTTTCACACGCTGACGTGTGTCGTATGGATTTTCAAAGTACTGGCAGTGAATTTTGGAACACAGGCTCGCGGGGACGGAGGGTGGCCGGGAATCGAAACAGTTCGCTTTGCACGCATTTTCCTTCGGCAGCTTCATTTCCCTCTCCTCACCCCTCTCGCCTTACGGAAGTACACACTGCGAGTTATTCATTCTCAAATTCGTTGCGAGAAGTGTCAAAAGGGGCCGCAGGTAAAGCGAACGGAGCTAACGGACCCTGTCGGGTCGGTTCGTCCGTTTTGATCTGCGCTTCCCATTTCCCGTCCTCTCTCTCTCTCTCTCTCTTTCTCTCTCTCTCTCTCTCTCTTTCTCTCTTGGAGCGCAGTCCGGGGGAAAGATATATTCATTTCGCTCCGAATGCGGAATACGCAGGTAAAACAGACCTAAAACAATTTACGATCGAGTATGTACGTTCCTCGGTGTGCGCCGTGGTGCGCGCGCGCGCGCTCGCTCGCTCGCGGACGGGCGGGCATACGCGCGCGACCCACACGAGCGCAAACACCGGGCCGAGAGAGCCGGCGAACGAACCAGCGGACACGAATGCACGCTGTACACACACACATACACACACAGCAATGCGGCGAGCGAGCGAGCGCTCGCGCGCGCTCGAGAGCATGAGAATGAGAGAAAGAGAGAAAAAGAGAAGAGGTCGGGAGATGCGCACGCCGCCAGGTGGTGCGCCGAGCGAGCGGTGTGCGGCCGCCTGGTGCCGTCGCCTCGCCGCTCGTGTGCCCGCCTGCGCGCTAGAGGTGCTCGCTCTCTCGTCCGTAACACACCGGCGACGCGCACTCGGGGAAGCGAGCGCGTTTTACTTGCGGGGAAACACAGTGGTAGTGTAGTGTGTAAGCGTGGTATGGTGGCGGCCTCCTCCTCTTTCTCTTCCACCGTGTGCCGGAACGGGGTAAGCGAGAACGGTGAGGAGTAGTAGTGGAGTAGTAGTAGTAGTAGTAGTTCTCCGCGCAGCGAGCGGGAGGGGGGGAGAGGAAGGGAGACGAGGCGAAGTGAGCGAGTCGTTCGCGTGAGAGTGATTGAGTGAGAGAGATGCGTGTATATATATATGTGCGCGTACGTAGATGTGTATACATGGATATACGTGCGGAATGATTCGAGCCCGCGGGACACGCTTGCACCTCCGATGATCCGCGCCGCCACGGCTGACCGCAGCAGCCACCGTCAGTGAAAATCGCGTGAACGCACGCACGACGTATGTGTATTTACGTATGTATTATGTGTATGTATGTATGTATATGCGCGCGCGAGCGCGCTTGCGGACAGACGGACGGACAGCAGTAGACAGACAGACAGACAGACAGACAGGCAGGCGGACGAGGGTGGTTTTCTGGACGAAACGCCGCTGGTGGTGGTGTGTGCAGCGGCGCGTCCTTAGCCGCGAGATATATACGCCACGAGACGTTACGGGAGCGAGGCAAGCACACGGTGTGTGTTACTCCTCTCATCTGGCTAGCTCGCGGTCACTCGCTCCGCTCTGCCACCGCTGCAAGAAAGTGCCACCGCTTTTTGAAAGAGTAACTCGTGCGGATAGAGGAGACGGTGCGACGCGGAGTGACGCGCTGCCGCCCGCCGATGTCGGGAATATCGAGCGTCGCGGTGGCCGTGCGATAACGACGAATTCTCTCTCTCGCGGTGGCCCCGAACGGAAATCTCTCTCGCTCTCCCTCGCGTCGTCTCCCTATCCTCCTCTCCTTCTCTCTTCCGCGATAATGGCGTACTTTCCGTAGTCATCGGGCCCGTCGTTTTTCTCACTCGCTCTCTCTCTTTCTCTCTCTCTCTCTCTCTCTCTCTCTCTCTCTCTCCATCGTTCATCGCCGCTGCCGCCGCCGCCGTCGATGTGTCGACGACGCGAGTGACCCGACGACGACGACGCTCTCACGTGAGAGACTCGGGTCTCTCGCCGCGACGCCGATTTCAGCGTATGCCATAACCCCGCGACAAAAGCCGCGGCACAAGCGGCTTCCTACTTTACACGGCTGTAAGGACGCGACGATGAGATACGGTCGAGCGTGAACTGCCGCGGCGAAGGAGAGAGAGAGAGAAAGAGAGAAAGTATATAGAGTCTCTCCTTTTTTCTTACCACCGTTCGTTCGTTCGATGCAGTTTCGACCGCTCGCTCTCTCATTCGTTCGTTTTCTCGCTCGCTCGCTCTCGCTGTCTCCCTTACTCGCGCACGCACACATCGAGTGAGTGTATTTTTGTTCGTTTTCCGCCGAGCACGAGAACATTCTCTCTCTCTCTCTCTCTCTCTCTCTCTCTCTCTCTCATTCTTTCCCTTGCTCCCCCACTGTCGTGCGTCGCGCTGTATTTGTCAGTGTGTATCAGGTTTATATACGTTGCCCTAATTTTTTGTTTTACCCGTTTTATTCTCCTCTATTTCTCTTTCGCCCTCTTTCTCTCCTCCCCTCCCCGTGCACCCCGGCGTTCGTCTCTTCATTTTGTTTCGACGTTGTCTATCGATCGACGATATCGCGCTGATTTTCGTCGGTCCGACGGAACGTTTATTTCATAGAGACGGCAATGCCATATTGTTGCACGTTAAGGAAGCCGCGGGGCATTGTTCGCTCGCGCCGGCGATCCCGCGGTCTGTCATAGTTTCGGTAAAAGTTGGGCACCGCCGAGCGTGATAATACCGCTCTCCTCTCTCTTTCCTGACGTCGCGCGTCTTCGACCTTTAATTCTTTCGCTACCGGAGTTTGTGCCGCTCCACGACGAATTTTGTCGCTCGCTATGTCGTACGCAAGAAAAAACTGCTGCGGTAGCTCGCCCGAAAATTTTCATCGTGCTTAAAGATCGTCGTTACAGCGACTCGGCGCCGAAAATTTCCGCTGTACACATGTTTATACGTGTGTGTGTGTGTGTGCACGTATGCCGCGTGTCCCGAACGGTGACTCATTGTTAAATCATTAGACAAACGTCAGATGGGTTTATGATATAATTTTGCGCAAATGTCACATACGTATACAAATCATGACGCGACGCGACAACGAATCGCGTTCGGTGCCGTTTGTGTGTGTGTGTGTGTGTGTATGTGTGTGTGTGCGCGCGCGAGACTTCACGCCGGAAAAAGAGGAGTAGCAGCACACTCCCGTGGCGGTGCCGAAGAGTGCCGCTTCTCTCGCGTCTCACTTCTTCGCGTCGTACAGCGCTTTTCATTTGCTCCCGTTGTCCGCGGCGAGCCTAATGACTCGCCCCCCTCTCGCCCGTCCTTCCCCCCTTCCCCCGTTCTCCCTTTACCCCGCTCGCGCGCTTCTCTCTGAGAAACCTCGATATTTCATTCATGACTTTCATGGAAATTATTACGTTCGTCTGTATCGGGATCTATAATGCCACCCCGGGATACGCGAGAGCCGTAACGCAGAAACAGACTTTCTGCAAATATCCCGGTGTGGTCGAAAACGTTTCGGTCGCGGCTCTTCCATCGCGACACATTCCGCGCGTAAGACGGCAATTATATCGGTGCCCCAATTACGAGGCGTAATACATCGTCCTCGGAATTCCGATCGGTTTTACATTATTTATGCGCCTTTTATATATTTACATAATTGTATTTATTTTCTTCTCCGTTCTCTCGACTGACGTTCTTCCTCGCGTTCTATAATGACTGCGTCTTCTTGGTACATATATGAATAATGATACACGTATAATTCTAAGATCTCGATGTGAAAATATGACCAGATGTTACCAAGCTGGGATATATTCCGAGGGGGAAAAGTTATGGCGATTATGAGGAATTGAACCATAAGCGTATAGCTTTTCCCCTTTGGCGTATGTCGCTACAACGAAGAGAGAATCAATAGAATTCTTATATCATGTTATATGTACAATAGAAACACGGAAAACTGAAGGTATATGTAAAGTTTCTTTTTTTTTATTGTTTCAGACAGCAAGAGCTTGGGTTTACCATGGGCACGTTACTGGCTATAAAAGAGATCGTACAATATTCTCCTAAGCCTGAAATGGGGACGAGGAGTCCTTCAGCGTAGACATGGACTACGATCTGTTTGGTGAAGATGTCAGTGGCTCGATGCTCGAGGCTCTTCCTGATCTCGGAGGGAACGATCACTTCGATCCTGCGCCTGCGAATAATTCCGTAGCGGTATCCAGAGACGGTCTGAATTCCGGCCCTAATGGAGGAGGGAGTTACATTAGCCAATCCTACAACATTTCTCAAGAATCTCCAATACAAAAATTAACCACATTCGGCGGATCTGACTTTGGTGGCTCGAATCAATTGCAAAATCCGTCGCAGCGCAGCATGTTCAACCAAAATCTCGGTACGTTCGATAATAGCGCCACACCTCAGCGTGCTATGGTGCCGGGCGCGTTTCAAAATCAGGCTCGTAATATTGCACCGCAACAGCACAGGGGGCCTCATCCGGGTAGCGGTGGTCAGTATCCTAGCTACAATGACAATATGTATTCTATGGAGCAGCAACACTCGATGGCTAGAGCCAACATGAGTATAGACCCCAGCCAACAAGGTTGGCCGGGTAATGGAAGTGGTTATCCACAGATGCAGAGGCATTACAATCAGATGGCTCCGCAGCCTGCCACGTACAGGCAACACATGCCGCCACAGTATTCTCATCAGCAAGACCAAGCTGGCGTTATCAATCAAAAGATGCAGCAGCAGCAGCAGCAGCAACAGCAGCAGCAGCAGCAGCAACAACAACAACAACAACAACAACACTTTAGTCAACAAGGGATGATAGGCAGCATGGGGGTTTTGCATCAATCAATGCAACCCGGCGCGGCCGGCGGTGTTTATCAGCATATGGTTGGGCAACAGCAGCATTACCAGCAAGGCAATTCGGTAGCGGCGATGTATCAGACGTCACCCGGCTATCCTGGTTTTGCTTCGGCGATTCATCAGCAACAGCAGGCTCAGCAACCGCCCCAGGCGAGAATGCCGCACCATCATCCAGCTCATCCGACACATCAACCGCATCCATCTCATCCTCAACAATATCCTCAGCATACCCCTCAACATCCGAACGCGCAGCAACAACCGACGATGGATCCTCAATATCCTCATCACGCCACGTCGATGTATAATCAACCTCAACATTCGGCTCCGCCACAGCAACAATTCGGCACAGCACCGAATAAACACTCGACAAGTCCACAGTATCGCGCCGCGTTTCCACAATTGTCACCACAAATGTCACCACGGCCGCAAATGTCCCCGCGTCCACCGGCAGTGCAGCAGCAGATGTCACCCCGACCCATCATGTCGCCCGCCAAACCTACTACGTTATCGCCGCATCCTCATGTTCAACTTCCTCATCAGCAGGGTAATCAGGGTAACGCGATGTCGGTGTCACCCTCGTGTCCGCCCACGTCTATGCAAATGAATCCATCATCGCAGCAACAGCAGACTACTCTGCAAGCTCTCGAGCAAATGGTGATGCCTGGAGTCGCCGTGTCGAACTCCAGCGTTCCAGCTCCAGATCAGTATAATCAGTTCCAAGCACGTCCGCCAATATCGCAAACACCGAACGTTCTGCCGCAGCAGCCGACGGCACAGAGCCCGATGCCAGGTCAAGTCACAGGGCCAAGAATGCCGATGCCCGGTCAGTGGCAATCGCACCCGCAGCAGCAACAGCAACAGATTAGGCCAGGTATCGGCATTAACGAGGAAAGAGGTAGCATAGTAGAGCAACCTCAGCAGGCGCCGATAGTATCCGAGCAGAGTGCTCCGATGTTCCCCGTCGCTGGACCGGAGACTACTGTTCACAACGTTGTGGAAACAGCGACAACGACGAGCACAACGACAACGAGAGAACCAACGACGACGGCGGAGAATGTCGTGCAGAACCCGATCGAAACCCCGAAACCAGAACCCGAGCCTTCTTTGCATCAGAGCGCTCAGCAACCGGACGCAATCGCTCAACTTGGCCCACCGCAAGTGGACACATCGGCACAAAATAATTCGCAAAATAATTTATCTTTAGATCATACATCTACGGTGGGAAATATGCCTACACCGGCGAGTATATCTCCGATTGAAACGGTGCAGTCTCTTCCTGCATCCAGTACAAGTGGCAATATGGAGTGCACAAATGTGACTACGTCATTACAACAGCAGCAGCAGCAGCAACAACAACAACAACAGACGGTTGCTGCACCGATTCAAAATCCTGTTTCTAGTATCGAGAATCCGAGTGTGTGCGAAACGAAACCACAAGAACAAAATATGGAAGTACATCAGCCGCCAATGAGCAGTACAACGCATGCACAACAAGCTATAGGACAGCAGCAGCAACCGCAACATACTCAGCAACAGCCTATTACTTGTCCTCCACAGCAGCCAGTGCAGCAGCCGGTACAATCAGTGCCGCAACCAGTGCAACAACTTCATATGACTCAACCACAGATAGTCCAGTCTCAGGCAACGATACCACCTCCTCAGCCGCAGTTACAATCGCCACAACAATCTCAGATGGGTCAATCGCAACCTGTTCAAATAAATCAGCAATTGCAACCACAGCAACAAATACCTCAGCCGCAACCGTCATCACAACAGCAACAGCAGCAGTTGCAGCAAATTGCACCCATTCAACAACCGCAAATTTCTCAGCCCCAACAACCTGTACTGAGTCAAACACAGCCGGTGCAGTCTCAGCAAATTTCGCCAGCGCCTCAGCCCCAACTCGGACAGCCGCAGCCACAGTTGGGACAAGCACAGCCTCAATTGGGACAACCGCAGCCCCAACTGGGACAACCGCAAGCCCAGTTGGCGCAACCGCAGCCACAATTAGCGCAACCGGTTGCTCAGCAGGGCCCGACTTGCGTTACGCAGCAGGCGCAGTCAACGACAGCGACGCCGCCGCAGGCGCAGCCACAGCCACCTCATATGCAACCTCAGCAGGTCGGCATAGTGCCGCAGGGTGCCGCGTTAATACCACCTCAAATGCCACCACAGATGCAAACGCAGCCGATACAAAATCCAACGTCTCAGATGCAGAATCAGAACGCTCAGGTGCCGCCTGGACATTTAAACGCACAACAGATACCCGCAGTTAGTCAGACCGCCGGTATGGTGTTGCCGCCGCATCAAGCTGCGGTTTCCGTGCCAAATTCGCAAACGCCGCATCAGGTATTATCAATATTCTCAAAGAATATATCTTAACAACAAAATTTTTTAATTTTACAATATATTTTTATGATAAAATATGTATTTGTGAAATATTAAATATTTTATATAATCAGTTGTGATAATACATTCGTCAGTTGCGCTAATGTCAATTGTTTTTAAATAACAGTATCATCCTGGAGGCGACATGATCACCGGCAATACAATGCCAAACATGTACAGCATGCCGACTAATCCTACACAAACCCCAGTCGCAGCTGGCGGTTTCGGCACGTCTTGCGCGCCACACACGCATCATCAAGAGCGAGCTGCGCTGCAACAGCAGTTACAGGAATTGTACTGCATGCCGCCAGCTCCGGAAAATCAGGAAAAGATTGTCGCTTTGCAGGAGAAGTTGCAGGCGTTGCAGCAGCACGAGACGAATGATCAATGTAACGGTGGTCCGCAGTGTATACTACAAACGCCGATGTTTACAGCTGCTGTAGTTGATAGTCCACAGGTAGTGTACAATTTCTCTATCATAAGATAAATATGATAAATTATATTTAAAAATATTTTATATAGAACATTTCAAATTACCAACAATAACTTTTTCAATGCTGATTAAAAAGTCAATATTAGTTTGTCAGACTAACTCAAATAATAAATACTTTATGAAGAACACTTGTAGAATTAATGTTTGAGACGCGAAGTCACACATAATAAACAGATATTTAAATGTCAGATATTTTTTCCCACGTAATTTTTACATGCGTGTATATTGTCTTATATTTGAAAAAAATTATCTGTATAAATATTACTGAAAATAGGTTAATATTTTATAAAGAATACTTGTAGAATTAATGTTTGAGACGCGAAGTCACACATAATAAACAGATATTTAAATGTTAAATATTTTTTTTATGTAATTTTTTACGTGCGCGTATATTGTGTCTTATATTTGGAAAAAATTATTTATCTGTATAAATACTGAAAATAGGTATCCAGTACTACTGGACGTGGTCGCAGCAAAGGTACGCCACGAGCGAAAAAAAGTCGTAAAAAAGCCGATAAAGAGGCATCTGCGCCTACCACTGCCACTCAGCAACCCGAGCAACCTTTGTCGGACAATAAAGTCACTCCAGGTGATAGCAGTAATATAGTAGACAGTGCTGCAGATTCGGAAGATATTAAGCCGTCTTCCGGGGATATAGAGGAGGAATGGAATAAGGGTAGAAAGTCCCGATCGCCTCGAAAACCGCGGAAGCCGAAGGAACCAAAAGAGCCCAAAGAGCCGAAACCTAAGAAGGAGCCGAAACCACCCAAGGAACCGAAATCGCCGAAAGTGGCGAGGAAGAGAAATAAGGATAAAGACAAAGATTCCACAAAGCGTAACAGGAAGTAAGTATGATATCTATAAAAGAATATATGTTACTCGTGTATTATAAAACTTTTATAGTTAGCTTTTTATATTTATTATTACTTTTACAGAAAAACTACTCAATCTGAGTCCGCCGATGATGAAAACTTACGGGAAAACGAAGAAACTGCCGTTTCGGATTCCAGCGCTGTTAAGGACGCCGAGACGAAGGTCTGTGAACCGTCCATACAGGGTGATCAGGAGCAAGTGGATTCTTCCACCAATGAACCTCTGTTATCCGAAGTAAAGGAAGAAGGCAAAGAGAAAACTGGAACGGAGGATGCTACGGAGGAGGATAAGAAAGATGAAAGCTCGGAAGCAACTACTGCGACCGTTGAAACTGCGAGCGGCGGTAAAAAGAAATCTGCAGCTCGAAAACGATCGAGTACTGGCAAGTCGTCTGGAGGGAAAAGTTCCAGAAGTTCTAAGTAAGTTGTAACATTATTTGACTGATCAATAATAGTTGATAGCATATTAACATATATAACTATCATCAAATTTTATTTTTCATAGGAAACGCAAGAGTCGCATTGCCCCTGATTCTGACGGCGAGGAATTGGCGGCGACGCCTCCGCCATCACCAGAGGCTGGCGATGATATGAATAAGCGGCGTTCCGCAAGAAACACTCATCGCAAGAAGTACGTAGATGATGTGATGTTGCGATTCTCAGACGATGACGTTCCTTTGCAAGATGCTCAACTCTCGAAAAAAGTGGAAGGTGCAAACACTTCAAAACCTGCTGCCGCTAAAAAGGATGGTGGTGAGGGCACCGAAGGTGCTGGACCTAACAAACCCAACTTTGTATACATTGTACGCATCCTTTGGATATTGCTAACGTCTCCTGTAAAGATTGTTACAACAATCTATATAATTTTAATTGTATTTTTTCCGTTTTGTAGAACACTACAGACGAGGACTCTATGGTTGTGCAACATATTTTATGCTCTCGAATGGGAAAGAGGGAAGTTAAGCCCGTGGTACCCAAGGTAGAACCGCCCCCGGTTGAAAAGGATGAGAACGCGGATAAAGAAGAATCTACTGACAACAAGGACGAGACGTCCGATGATGCTGCGAAAAAGGAAGATGCGAAAGATGACGAGAAAGAAGCGGAGGATACAACCGAGGATACAACCGAGGATAAGGAAAAGAGTGAAACCGATAGCGCGAAGAAGGAGGAACCAAAGAAACCGGAAGAACCTTCCCCGGATTCGAAACCAGCCGAGACTACTGCCGTTGTCGAGACAAAGCCACAGATCATCGAAGCCGAAGAATATTTCGTTAAATATCGAAATTTTTCGTATTTGCATTGCGAATGGAGGACGGAAGAGGAAATGTACAAAGGAGATAAACGTATTCAAGCTAAACTGAAAAGATTCAAGCAGAAGCAGCAGCAAAACACCAACATTTTCGAAAATGTATTTAATGTTTATTATCCTAACTTAATTGAATATTGATAATGATTGCACATTAAAAATTAATATTAAAAATAATTTAAAACCCATTTTACGAAAACCCGTTCCTTTTTTTTTTTAGCCCGAAGATGATCCTTTCAATCCAGATTTTGTCGAAGTCGATCGAGTCTTGGATGAAGCAACTCACACAGATCCAACTACTGGAGAGACAGTTCGACACTTCTTGGTCAAATGGCGATCTCTACAGTATGAAGATTCTACCTGGGAATTAGAAGAAGACGTTGATCCCGAAAAAATAGCTCAGTTTGTGAGATTCAATAAGGTGCCACCAAAGGAACAGTGGAAGGTATATATATATTAATTTTTATATATATTTTAAGAAATTTAAGATTGCATATTACAATTTATTGTTTTATTTGTCTCCTATATAAATTCATATAATCCTTGTTGTTCCAGCCGAAGAAGAAACCTAATGCTACAGCTTGGGTAAAGTTGGAAGAATCACCAGTTTACAAAAATAATAACATTTTAAGACCATATCAATTGGAAGGGTTGAACTGGCTGCTATTTTCATGGTACAACGGACACAATTGTATTCTCGCTGATGAGATGGGCTTGGGAAAGACTATTCAGTCGCTGACATTTGTGGACGCGGTCTACAAGTACGGAATTCGTGGACCATTCTTGATTATAGCTCCGTTATCGACCATTCCGAATTGGCAGCGAGAATTCGAAAGCTGGACCGATATGAACGTCGTGGTATATCATGGATCGTAAGTATATCAAGGCGGATTTTATCTAATTGCAAGGACGAATTGAATTGACACTGATATTAAAAATTTGAATTACAGTGCGGCGAGTCGTACCATGCTTCAGGAATACGAAGTTTACTACAAGAACGAGAAGGGACAGCAAATCAAAGATTTAGTAAAGTTCAACGTGTTGATAACAACGTTTGAGATCATTATAACCGACTTTAACGAGCTACGTGGATACAATTGGAGACTCTGCGTCATAGACGAAGCTCACCGACTAAAGAATCGAAATTGTAAGCTCCTCGAAGGTCTTAGACAATTGAATCTGGATCACAGAGTACTTTTGTCGGGCACGCCGTTGCAAAATAATGTCAACGAACTGTTTTCCTTGTTGAATTTCCTCGAGCCGCAACAGTTTGCGAGTAACGAAGCATTCCTGAAGGAATTCGGTAACTTGAGCAGCGAGGGTGAGGTGCAAAAGTTGCAGCTTCTTTTGAAACCGATGATGCTACGTCGTCTGAAAGAAGACGTGGAGAAATCGCTGGCACCGAAGGAAGAAACCGTCGTTGAAGTGGAACTGACCAATATACAGAAGAAATATTACCGTGGCATTCTCGAGAGAAATTTCTCATTTCTTGCGAAGGGCACCACATCGGCGAATATTCCGAATCTTATGAACACGATGATGGAATTGAGGAAGTGCTGCATCCATCCGTTCCTGCTGAACGGCGCCGAGGATCAGATACAGCTAGATTACAAGACCGGCGAGAAGGAAGATTCCGAGGCGTACTATCACGCCCTGGTGAACAGCTCCGGAAAGATGGTCCTGATCGACAAGTTGCTGCCGAAACTGAAAGCCAGCGGTCATCGAGTCCTGATATTCAGCCAGATGGTGAAATGTCTGGATCTGCTCGAGGACTATTTGTTGTACAAGAAGTATCCCTACGAGAGAATCGACGGCCGAATTCGTGGAAATCTGCGACAGGCCGCCATCGATCGTTACAGCAAACCCGACTCGGATCGGTTCGTCTTCTTGCTCTGTACGAAAGCGGGTGGACTTGGCATTAATCTAACCGCGGCCGACACTGTCATTATTTACGATAGCGACTGGAATCCGCAGAACGATTTGCAGGCGCAAGCTCGTTGCCATCGAATTGGGCAGCAGAAGATGGTCAAGGTGTATCGTTTGCTCTGCCGCAACACATACGAGCGAGAGATGTTTGACAAGGCGTCTCTGAAGTTGGGGCTCGACAAAGCGATCCTGCAGTCCATGAATACCAGCCAAGGTGGCAAAGATCCCAGCAATAAACAATTGACGAAGAAGGAGATAGAGGATCTGCTGAAGAAGGGCGCTTACGGTGCTATTATGGACGATGACAATGCTGGCGACAAATTCTGTGAGGAAGATATCGAGCAAATACTTGAGCGTAGAACTCAGATTATCACCATAGAAGCAGAGAAAGGCTCGACGTTCTCAAAGGCGAGTTTCGCATGCTCGTCGAATCGTTCGGACATTAACATAGACGACCCCGACTTTTGGAAGAAATGGGCGAAGAAGGCGGAGATCGATACTACGGAGAAGAAAGAGGAGGACGAGCTGGTGATATCCGAGCCGCGGCGACGGACGCAAATTAAGCGTTACGGCCACGACGAGTCGGTGGTTGACATGTCCGAATTGGACAGCTCGGACGAGAACAGCGACGACGACGGCATCGGCCTGTCCGGCAGGAGCAAGAAACGACGCGACAAGTTCGGCAAGAAGTCGCGCAAGTTTTACGACGAGTACGTGCCGCGCGAGGGCGAGGTGGTGTACGGCAGTTGGGCGCGCAGCGAATGTTTCAAGGTCGAGCGTGGACTGCTGACGTTTGGCTGGGGCCGCTGGGAGGAGATTCTGCAGCACAGCCAGTTCCGTCGCGGTTGGCGCGAGGTCGACGTTGAGGATTGCGCTCGCGTCATTCTGCTCTACTGCCTGCGCTATTATCGCGGCGACGAAAAGATCCGTAGCTTCATCTGGGACCTCATCACGCCCATCGAGAACGGCGAGAAGGTGAAGAGCGTGTCGGTGAACACCGGCAGCAGAAACAGCCGGCAGAAGAAGAAGGGCCGCATCCGTGAGGGCAGAGAGACCCGAGGATCGGTCATCAACGGCGGGCCGAGCGATCCCAATCATTGGAGCAATGCAGAGAAATTCGATGGGGACATCTTTCTCGAGAGCAACTACAGGAAGCATCTCAGTCGACACGCCAATAAGTAAATATAGATAGAATTGTAAATTGTGAGGAGTTTAGATGCGATAGCAAGTCGTCTTAAATTTTTTCTTCTAAATAAGAATATTATGAATAATCACAAATGATTGTCTTCCTTTCGCTCGTCTACTTTAATTGATTATTTTAAATCTCATACTTACGTTCTTTTTTAAATTAAAATTATTGGAATAACATAATTATTTATTCAATTTAATTTTTTATTAATTTCGAATTTTTTATTAAGAATTGAAGAATTCGATTGATTGTTTTTTATTTTACAGAGTATTGCTACGCGTACGAATGCTGTATTACATCAAACACGAGATTATCGGCGACCTGGTCCAGCATATCAATGACGGCGTTCACGTCAGGTGAGTCCGCGTCACTTTTCTCCTCTCACGCTTTTTCATACCATAGACTACCATCTATCACGGATTCGTGTATACTCACATATGTGCTTACCACGGAGCTTAGCATAGTTGCATGTGCGATGTATTTGTTGATATCCTGGGAGCTATACCTGTATGAGGAATGCTCATAGAGCCCGGATCGCGTTGATCCACGTAGCTCTGCAGAACGACTACCAGTCCGTTTTTTTTTTTTACCCTACGCTACTAATATGAAATCGTTTTTATTTCCTCATCCTTGTATGCACGTATATCAATGCGTTAACATATATACACGTGCGCTCGCGAATCGCTACGAGAGAGAGACACACTTGGTAAAACTGTCGCGTGAGGATGATCGAATTTCTGCAACAGAGTGTGGTAAGCCATAGGACTTGTCGTTAAGCAGTGCACTGTAATCGAAGGGAGATAATTGAAAAATCGTGTGTGGTTTTTAAAATCTCGAGAAAAAACGAGGAGACCCGGATATTTTTGTGTGTCGTATTTATACTATTTATATATTATTTTTCTGAAATTTTGTACAAAAGTAAAGTCCTGTGCCGCTGCGAGGGGAGATCTCCCATGAAATCCCTTTGTAAATTTTATCAACTAAAATCTCCCTTTTATAAATTAATATGAACATACGCTGGTATCGGCACGCAAGTAAATTGGCAAACTTTGTAAAAAACGAAACCGCCCTGCAGTGCGTTGCCGATAGACCTTCCACAGTTGACGGACCGACCGGCGAAATGGTGGGACTCGACAGCAGATAAATCCTTAATAGTCGGCTGCTACAAACACGGCTATGAGAATTACGACCAGATGAGGACTGACCCCGCGCTTTCTTTCATTACAAGCTGTCCTCCCCCTTTCCAGAACTCTCAGAACAAGAGTACCGCCGAGTGAGTACCTTAGTCAATTTTTTTTCTTTATACTCGTTATTTGTTCATCTCTTTCTCTCGTTCTCTCGTTCTTCTTCATGCCCTGCCTATAACTGTCCTAACATTTATGCCGCTTGCACCGCTTTCTATATATTTATATTTATACATATACGCTTGTACGGTCATAGCTTTTATTTTCAGCAATAGAATGGCGTATATAATGTTCACTTTTAGCTTTCGCTCTCTAACGTCTTTCGATATCTTCTCCGCGGAATATTATCGTGCTGTGCGCACAGCAAAATAAAAAAAAATTAGGAAGGAAGAGAATTTGATTAGATCTACGATATTGAAAATATGGCATCGTTCTCTTTCGCGCTCTCTTCTGTCAGAGATATTTTATCGCATATATGAAAAAGCCGCATTAAAATAGATCATCTGACTTCGCTGCCTTCCTATTTATAGCTGACGTTACGAAACGTCAAGAGAGAGGAAACGATAAATTGAATCAATAGATACCATCCTCTTTTTTTTCTAGTTCTCTTCATTCTACGGAATAAAACTTGGACGCGGGATTATCGTGTAAAATAATTTCAAAGTTTATTACGCGCGTGTTTATGCGCGACGAACGAACATCTTGTTTGTTTTATTGGAAAAAAAAGTAAAACATCTGATTATTATCTTCATCCTGTGACTTTCCAAAATTTCAGTAGCAGCAGCAGAGACGATAACAGTCTGGAGAATGACATGGAGGATGGCGAGTCTCCCGGCATGACAAAAGACTCGAAGGACTCGGACAAGTTCAGTCGAGAAACGCCGGCGGATTCCCCCGCCATCTCGAGCAAGGCGGACACGCCGATACCGGAGGCCAGCAGCAGTCACGACGGAAATGACGGTCTTCTCCCGGATGACGAGAAGCCGTCTTGGCCGTCTATGGTAGATCTTAATACACGACTGCGTCGCGTGATATCCTCCTATCAGCGAAGCGTTAGTAAAAAGGAGGACGTCAAAGTTATTCCGAAACCTGGGGGGAAGATGGGAATGGAGAGCGAGACCACTTCGATGAATCATACCAGCATGATGCACGAACCGCCCTTGAATATGCAAGGATGGGATCTGCAACAATTGGCGATGTACCTTTTGGTCAGTATACAATATTTTTAATACTATTATTGCTGTGTTAGGCATTTTAAGAGATTTTCATCGCGTCATTTGGGCCTGACGTCGCGTTTACAGAAAATGGAGAAAAGAGAAAAAATGGAGGCGATAGTGAAGGAACGAGAACGTACACGTATCGAGGAGCAAAAGGCGAAGTGGACCCGTCGCGAAGAGAGCGAATTCCTCCGGGTGGTGTCTACGTATGGCGTCAATTACGACAGGAAGAAGGCTCAGTACGACTGGACCAAGTTCAAAAGTATCGCTCGATTCGACAAGAAGACGGACAACGATCTTACGGATTACTATATGTCATTCAGAGCAATGTGTAAGAAAGTTTGTAACGCGAAGCTGAACGAAGAAGAAGGTGCGTCCTTTCTAATACTTTTTAAACTAATATATTCAATTATATTTATATAACTAATTATATAATTTGTATTTGTATAATTGAATATGATTTTTTTTCTGTTCTACGTGAAGTATTTTACTTAGTTGACGTTGCAGATTTTACAGATGTTCCAGTGGATCAGCTGAGTCCTGCCAAAGCGAGACAAATACTCGATCGCGTCGATCTCCTGAGCAAGATCCGCGAGGAGATCCTGTCGCATCCGCATCTCGAGGAGCGGCTCTCGTTGTGCCAACCGTCGGGAGACACGCCGGATTGGTGGCTGCCGGGGAAACACGACAAGGAATTGCTGCTCGGTGCGGCGAAGCACGGTCTCGGGCGTACCGACATAACTATACTCAACGATCCGGACTTTTCGTTTCACAAGCTTCTTACGAGGGGAATGTACGCAGGCACGCAGACTCCTAAAGTAATAGACAAGTCTGAGAGAGCGATAAAGATCGAGAATAGAGAAGACATTTTGAAGTTCGATAAGGACGAGATACTCGTGAAACTGGAGAAAGGCGAGGGAACTTTAAAGATTGAAAAAGTTGGAGCGAAAAAGGACAAGGACCAAAGTACCGATAAGAAATCCGAGAACGCGGACTCCGAGAAAAGTCAGGTGGAATTGACTATTGTCAAAGCGGAGGCTAAACCCGAAGAAAAATCTATCGGCAGTTCGTTGACTATCACAACCGTCGCGAGAACATCGGACGCCGACAACGTCGCCGTAAAGAGCGAGGAAAAGAGCGAGCTAGCGATAGAGCCGGTTAAATGCGATAGCACCAAAGTCAATCAGACAGGCACTGCCAAGTCGACCGATGAAGAGGTCGCGAAGGAGGCTAATTCAGAGAGCGTGGAGAGTCCTGCTGTTGTGGAACTCGAGAAGGAGGACAAGGTTCAAGAAAAAGATGTTGAACACGAAGTCAGCTTCGCCGAGAAATTTTTGTCCGACGAGAAATCGGATGAGCCAGCGCAGGACGTCGTGATGGAAACAGTCGAGAAAGGTGAGACGGAAGTTAAAGAGAAGGCCGAGAACGTCGAGAAGAGCGCTGAGACTACCGAGACTACCGCTGTCGAAGATGATAATAACAAAAGCGCAAAGCCGGATAACGCACCGGCTAAGGAAGAGGTCGAGGTGCAAGAAGCAAAGAGTTCGGACGTTGTCAAGGAGAAGGCGAAGGTTCTGCCAGTCGAGGATAAGTGCAGCGTCCAGGCTGCAGAATTGAAGGCAATGTTCCCGGATCTAGAAGTGATACAACCGTTGTCGCGGCTAACGCAGATCGATACATTCGTTTTGCGAGACAAACCAGCGGATTACAATAGCGAGTCTACGGTGATGCAACTCCTAGCGCACGGCTGCGCTAATACACCAATAAAGTGGCCGAAGGTAAACTTTTTTAAACTTTTAATATTTTACTTTTATTTACGTGTTAATATTATATATATAATTTAATATACATTTGTGTGTGTAAAATTTATATTAAATATAGACTGTATATTTTATGCATCTCGAATTCCATTATACTTATTGATTCGACTTTGCTTTTCAGGAGCACGCGATCGAAGCTCGTTTAATGCACATTGTGCACGCGATAGAGCACAAAGAATGGCCGGTGTCGGTGAACTTCAGTGCAGGCGAGGAGCTGGAGCCTGCGCAAAACGAAAAGGAATGTTCGGAAGTGATAACAATCACTACGGACCACGGAGTGTCCCGATCTATAGCGAGCGGAAACAACATCTCCGCTTCAAAGAAACGCAAGAGGCATATCGCCATAGATGTAGAGACAGAGCGAGGTAATTTAAACCACTTATAAATTAATAACGCAATTACTTGAGCGTCATTATTAATTTCGTTATAATTATATTTATATCAAATGATATATCAAATTATGTAATTAAATGTATTTACTGTATCTTTCGTTAATTTTTTTTTACAGCCAAGCTTCACGCGCTTCTCAATAGCAGTCACTTGAGTACGCCGTCGCCCGCGCCCCTCAGCAAACCAGTCGTTCTCTCTGGTGCGACTAGCTGGGAGCTCAATGACGAATCCCAGTCCGAGGAATCGCGACGCTCCACGCCGGTCCAGCCACCGCCGGCGCATCAACAAACACGGACGCCGAATATACACTTTGATTTGAAATATACTGTTCCGGGGAAAACGACCATCATACCTGGGACATCGAGCACTTTGACGCCTATCGATTTATCCGCTGGGTAAGACATTCGATAAAATGTCTAATTGTGTAATTAATGCAAATATCTTTATGTAATATTTCAATGAATTATATATTCACTTTCAGATATCCAAAATCAAATACCGACAGCAACAAGGACTTAATGAATGAAGTGCAAGATTTCTCCATGCCGAACAAGAATAAACAAGTCAGCAGCAATAAAGGGAAATTGGATAGTATGCTTGACAAACTCATGAAAAGGAAAGCTTGCGTAAGTACATTTTTTAAGATATTCTACGATATTAGATATTAATAATTCTACGTTGGTGATTAAAAAAAATTATTGAATATCTGATTTATCATTTAACAGCCTACAGAGGAACCGGTGGTCGGAAAAGAGAAGAAGCGCAGGAAGTTGGATGAAATAGTGTTGGGACTGAGCGCCGCGAAGGAGCAACAGAGCGGCCATTATCTCGATCTCGGCAAGAAGAGTACAATCACACCCAACGTGACCGTGACTCCGACATCGGCGCCGATCGGTCTTCCCAATCCGCCGACGAGTGCCCAGAAACCGTTCTCCATTACCGTTACATCAATTCCGTCTTCTCGAGCTTCGACTTCCTCTACGCCCGTTTTACCGCCGCCGTCCTTGCACTCGCACAAAGATACCTTCTCCGCTTTGCTGGCTCAGGCTGAGCAACAAAATCGTGAATTGAAGAAACAGCAGCAGCAACAACAACAGCAGCAGCAGCAGCATCAACAGCAGCAGCAGCAGCAACAACAACAACAACAGCAGCAGCAGCAACAGCAGCAGCAGCAGCAGGCATTCAACTCGGCGCATCCGTCTTCCTCGAGCAGCAGTCACCGAAAGAATTACGAGGCAATGATTGCAGACATCAACAAAGTCGCCGAGTACTCATCCAAGATCGGTTCGTTCTCGCATGAGGCGAAGGTGAACAAGTGGCTGGCGGAGCAAAGCGCGATGTCGGAGCAATTAAGTGCAGAATATTTGAACGCTCCCCGACGACGCAGACCGCGCGTCGATCCGTCCTTGTTGGATTGGAAGAAGCTCACCGGTGAAGAGAATGTCGCTGTTATCAACCGATTAACTGGCAAGAAGGTACGAATTATATATATTTTTAAAAATTGCAACTATAATACTTGTTTTATGTGAATTCTAAAATTATTTTTGAAAATTGCCTTTCTCTCATGTCTAGATAAATTAAATTAATCGAATTTTATTGGTATCAATACCATTCGAAATTTGATTAATGTAATAAGTTTTACTTAAAAACTAATTATTATTTAACATTTTGATGAGCTAAATATTTTGAAAAAACTACACGATGTATTTTACAATTATACAACAGTTTGTAATAGTTTTAGATTTCTAACAGTTTTAGATACTCGTCGTTTTTAAATATCATTTTATTTTAAGGGAAGCATAATTGTAAAAACTTATAAAATTATTAATTTCTTATTATTTTTATGGAGAGAATAAACTTTGCTTTAGAGTTATTTTGCAACTCTTAATTCGATTACTGTCAAATTAATCGAATTCGGAAGCTAAATTTTTTTTTATTCTTTAGGTAACCGGAAGCAAAGCGCCTCAATTGAAACGACTTGGAACGTGGCTAATGGAGAATCCAATGTTCGATGTTGATCCGAAATGGGCGGAACTTGTGAAGGAACGCGGCAATCTTCCGCACGATCTGCAGAAGAGACTATCGGGCAACGAGCGCAGCAGCGTGAACAAGGGCAAGAGCCCGGGCAGACCGCCCATGATGCCCAGCCCGACGAGTCAGCAGTCGGCGAGTACCGCCAATCTTGCGGCCACGTCGATGGCGTCCAGCCTTAACTTCCCTCTCGGCAATCTAAATAACTCTCTGCTGTCGGGCCTGTCGCTCGGCAACTTCGATCCGAAGAATCCGCTGTTGATGCCATTCGGCGGTCTGACGAACCTCGGCGCGCTCGGCAGCCTCAGTAATCTCAGCAGCTTGGGCAATGTGGGTCTGACGAATTCGTTGTTCGCCAATCTGGCCGGGCTGGGTCTGCCGTCGTTAGCGGGCATGGAAGCGGCGCTGAGTGCTCAAGCGACATCCAACGCAGCGGCGGCGGCGGCTGCGGCGGCAGCCGCGGCGGATAACCCAGTCGTAAGCTCGGCGAGTATCAGTGGCAGCAGCGGCAAGAACGCCAATTCTTCGTCGAGCATGAGCGGCGGCGGTGGAAGCGGCGGCGGCAGTAGCAGCAAGTCACGCAGCAGCAAATTAGATCAGCCGACGACCAGCAGCAAATCTTCGTCCGGCGGTCCGTCGACCTTGTCCGCTGTTTCATCCGCAAGTCTGCCGACCCCCTCGCCGTTCCCGTTCCTCTTCACGAATCCCAGCCTCCTCTACACACCGCTAACCCTAAGCGGCCTGAATCCGTTCTCCATGCAGTCTAGCGGCGTGTCGTCGGCCTACGAGAGCCTCGCCCAATGTGGTCTGCTGAATCCACCGACGTCCACCGCTTCAACGGTGCGCAAGCCTACATCGTCTAGCAGCTCCTCTAGACAACGTGAGGCCCCACCGGAATCTTCGACATCCTCATCTTCGTCGTCGTCGTCAACGACGAAACGAAAGGAGCCGGAGAAGAAGTCCAGATATTCAGTGGATCCGGCCGTGACTCTTCAACAATACACAGACATGGCGGCGTTGCACGGTAGCGAGGAGAGACGCCGCGTCGAGCAGCAGCAGCAGCAGCAGCAGCAACAACAACAACAACATCAACAACAACAACAACTGCAGTCGCAGCAGCAACACGAAAAGCGAGAAACAGCGGATGTGGTGGCCGATGTGGTAGCGGCGGATCTGTCGGAGAAAAAGACCGAGCGAAAATGCAAGGATCAGGAGATGAAAGAGGTTCTGGAGCATCTAAGCAGGACCAGCGCCGAATTGGTTACGCGGAATATTGATGACGCTCCAAGATCCGAGAAGCCGCCCAGCAGGAATCGCAGCATGGATAGCAACCAAAATTCTGACCAGCAGCAGCAACTACGATCGACGCCGTCGGCGCCATCGCCGCTCGAAGTCATCCTGGAACCTGTTGCGAAGAAGATGCGCATTGAAATGGACACAAGCACGAAATCGTCCGCGTTGAGCAGCGAAGTGCCGACGGTGGAGATCGAAGCGGTGACAAAACCGTCGCCGACGACTCCGACGAAGGCAACGCAACAGGCTGTATCTTCGCAAGAGGAGGTCAGTGTCCCGCCCGTAGAAGCGAACACAGCCAAGAAGGAAGCAAACGAGACGACAACGACGACATCATCATCATCATCATCGCCGGCGACGGCGGCAGCGGCGGCGGCGGCAGTGGCGGCGTCATCATCGTCGTCATCTGCGAACGTGACGTCGCCGTCGACGCAGAATACCAGCGCGAAGAGCGACAGCGCTAAACCTGCTGCTCCAGAGGCAGAGGAGGACAGCAAGGGCGGCGCCAAGGCGCCGAAGAAGGCACGCAGCGGTAAACGATTAAGCGTGGAGCCACCACCGGAGCGTAAGAATCTTCGTTCGAGTGCCGGCAGGCAGGCGCGGGCGGCTGCGGAACGGCAAGCGCGAATGGAGGGCGAGATGCAGCAATCCGAACAGCAGCAGCAGCAGCAGCAGCAAGACAGTCACGTGGCCGGCGAGTGAGTCACGGCGAGGTCTCGTCGGACTGCTGCCGCGAAAAAAAAATGATGAACGACAACTACCAAAAGTCGCCGCACGGCGATCCGACGAAAGGAACTCTGACGGACGTCGCGGTCCACGAACTTCTTTTTCAACTCTCTGATTCGACACTGCTCGCACAACGAAGATCTGTATGTAGATAATTCCCTGTTCGACGCTGATTAGCACGGAAGTGTAAGGTGTTTCGCAATTGAATCGCGATGAAACGCGAGTGCGCATCGAAAGGGGGCTACAGACATTGGTAGAATCTACCGTAGCCTTCGATTCGGCTCTTGGAGGATGGAAAATGTGTGTGGGACAAATGGGACTCCCTTCATTCCGCGGGAGGTGAATAATCATGTATCGTTAATCATTGGCGGACAGTGTGTGACAAAGTGCACGTTTATTGAATTGAAACAAAAAAAAGAGAGAAATCTCTCCAATACGAAGGCTGCGATAGTATTTTATCACTCGATACTTTGTGTAGTAATTAATTTTTAATTGCGTAATTATGATACAATAATAAAGGTATAGTTTTGTTAAATTTATTATCTACTATCTCTTATTGGTTTTGACCAGGGACTGTTTTATATAAAAATATATATATACATAATAGATATATATTATAAAATTGTGTACTCGCTATTGCGCATAAAGCAATTTACAAGCAAGGAACGCAAAACGGAATATAATCGTAATGTAGAGAAAAAAATAATTACAGTAATAACTTAATAAAAAAAAAGGAAAAATGTAAATATATACAATTATGCCTATAGAGACAGTAAGCAATCGTGTACTTGGAAAAGAAAATGTATATAACGCAGTGTACTTTTAATTACATAGGTGAAATAATAAACAGCTTCTTTTGTTGTTTGCAAATACCAAGAATTCGAATTCTCTTTTATTTTATATCACTCTACAACGTAAGAAATCTACAATGTAAGAAAAACAATTTTTTAATTAATTTTTAATTAAGTATATCAAATTATCTTTTGAAGTTAAATAAGGACATTTTTATTTAAATAAAGACACAGAATGCGTCTTAGATATTCAAAAGTGATAAATATGTTGTACAATTAGTTTTATAAAATAACATTTCATATATATATATATTTATGCAAACAAGATCGCCATATTGATGACATGATTTGGGCAGTTTGGCTTTTATTATAATCTTTTTACATAATACATAGAAATTTTCTTCTATGCATCTATAGGTTGTGCCACAATACGCAAATACGTTCTGCCGGAAGGTAACATCACAGTCTTGATATTGCTGTAAGAAGCTTTGGCTTCACTGTCTGACACACTCGGATCAATCATTACATCTTCTCCTTTCTGTAAAATAAAAAAAACACATGTAAATATGCATGTAAAAATTAACGCGATAAAATCGTCAATGATATGTTCTACTCGACATTCAATTAACAGCGAAAAAATTAATATCGCTTGAAAAATCTTGAAGTGAAATTTTATTTTCTCACCTTCCAGTCTACAGGAGTCGCTACTTTGTACTTTTGCGTGAGCTGAAGAGATTCAATTACCCTTATTATTTCGCTGCAAAAATTCGTAATACGAAATTTTAGTAGTCTTACACGAGCGATAAATCACGTTTTACAAAACATTAACAATTCTCACTCGAAATTGCGACCAGTGGTGGCTGGGTACAAAATCGACAGTCGCATCTTCTTAGCCGGGTCGATTATAAAGACAGCTCGCGCCGACATGGGTAGTCCGGTCCGGCTGTCGATCTCCGCGGGATCCAACATTCCCAGTAACGAGGCAAGCTTTCTGGCTTGATCCTCTATTATCGGATATGGAAATTCCTCATCCCTTATCTCGCCGTAACTCTTTATATCCTATACAGAATAGCGCTTTGTTTAGTACAAATCGATGGGACTCATTAAATTCAATATTAAATTTTATCAAATTGAAATCTAGGCTGCGTTCAGTATTTACGCTTTTGGCGCTAACGGAATTATTTTATTCTTATTGTTTATAAAATGTTAAAGAATAAATCGTGCTCACAGCGCGTGAGCGTCAAAAACGGGACGCAGCCCTAGAGTGCGTTTAGCTGAAAAAATTTGTAAGCAAACCTCTATCCATTTGCGATGGGACTCGACAGAATTACAGGACAATGCGATCACTTTCACGCCCAATCTCTTGAATTCAGGCATTAGTTTTGCGACCCGTGCCAGTTCGGTCGTGCAAACCGGCGTGAAGTCGTTGGGATGGGAAAACAGGATACCCCACCTGTATTTCGGGCAGACATCACATACATATATATATGTACAACAAAAAATAGAAAATAAAAAAAAAATGGCAATGCAACAACTACGCTGTGCGCCGAATCTATTGTAAACAAATGTAAAATAGGACTTGTGTACAAAATGTGTTAGTTATTTTCATTTCTATCAATTTTATGTATGCACAAACGATCAAGATATATATAGGTATACCCTTAGTATTTCGAACACGTGCACATTATGTACGGATTCACATCATTTGTTAATTAACGCATGTCACGTGACAAATCACACAAATAAAGAACGAATATCTCAAGTATTTTTATTTATAATATCTCGACCACGATCTACGGTGACGTTCTGGTACGTAGCGTATATCGCTATTAATTAATATTCGTTTTTTTTTTATACAAAGTATAAACAATCCTGACGGCGGAGCTTCTATCTAGGTTACGAATTGTACAGTAGGATATATCTTACGAATCGCCCAGCCACTCGTGAAATCTGATCGTGCCCCTCTGGGTGTCCGCTGTGAAGTCCGGAAACACTTCGCCCAGTAAAACCATGATGTCTCGTTTGCGAAATGTGCGGAATTTCACGATTAAACGCTAAAAGTGTGTTACTGATCCCTCGATGACCGATCACGCGTTCATCCAGGTACCAATATATCGAACACTCGGAACACACACACTAGTGTTGTCCAGCGGCAAGCGGCTGCGCCACAACAGATCGTGATAAACATAGGGGAGGGGAGCGGGGGGGGGGGAATAATGGAGAATCACTCGCAGTGGCGTACGCAGATTGGAGAAATAATGTGACGTCGCGGTAGAGGCCCATTATAGATATAGAATCCGAAACTTTCGATTAAACCTCGATTAATATTTGATCAGCGATTATAATCTATTAATCAATATTAAGTACGATATCTATATTCCGTTTTGTGTTCACCTGGATGGAATAATCTTTGATCGTTACTTAATACATTAAAAAAAAGGAGAATTTAACGATGACGAATTTTATATATATATAGTTGGAAATTTGGCAGCATGCGGGCAATTCTGCCGATTGAATTAATCAAGTTAATCAAGTCGATCAAGATTAATTCAGTTAATCGGAAAATGTATTTATGGCGCGCCTCCCGTTTTCCGGTTCTGGTACGAGCTTGCCGGATGGGTCTCTGCGGGGCGGTTGGGGGGTGGAGAGGGGGCAAAATGCAGGTCGCGCTACGCGCATGCGCACGTACCTCTCGATTTGACTGACCAGACTGACAGGCGGATGCAGTGCTGCGAGCTATAGACACGGAGCATGGAGCAGGCGCGAGTGATGCCGGCAAATGGCGGTTGTTATGTTGACTGTAGTAACATCAAGGAATTGAATTTGCATGCAAATTGCGCATTACAGGCTTTTCGAGTCAACCCCGGCGGATCTGGCGCGCATGCACATGTATCTGCACGTATATGAAAATTAATAAATAGCGAAATAACGATTCATGTTCATAGCAACTGACATGTTTACATATATGTATGTTCGTAATCGCATGCTTCAATTCTAATTGAATTGTTGATGTATGTACACCGTCGAGTAGACTGTTACAGTAGTAAATCAAATGTACAGAACATATCGTAAGATCTGTGATAAGCATTGTATATATGTGTGTGTGCGTGTCCCTACGTTGATCTCTTCCGAGACCAAATATGAGTCTTCTTCATATCGGTGAAGAGGGCTGGATTGTCTCTCATCTGCAGTATCTCAATGAGATGTACAAGAGAGTCCGAACGAACGAAAGTGGATTTTGCGCGTTAGGCTTTAATAAAATGATATTCGAGATCAATTCGCAGTACTTGAGGCAAAATCAGATAGCTCAGACCGTCCAGGAGACCCAGAACAGTGCCACGATGCACGGTAGAAAAAAGAGAAAACGCTCGCAGCAATTGCCGCAGAAAGACTTGGAGGAAGTAGGTTCAGAAATCAGTAACATATATTCCAATTCACCAGATCCTTTAGACTGGAATCTTTAAAGTACATCAATTACACTTTCCTGTAGTATCTCAAAGTTATTCTCACAACAGGTCGATCACGTTAAACGGGCGTTCGGCGCAATGATGTCTGCTGCAAGAGGCAAAGGACTCTTTTGCCGGAATAATTTCCTCGACAACAACGAGCTGGCACGTTTGGCATCGATGAAATTTTATCAGGATACTTACTCTCTCAAAAATGAGAATCTGTACGGATCTAACGACACCGACGACGCTATCGTAACCGAGGTTCACGATAAGAAATACGTATTCCCAACAAAATGCACGTTTTATTGCTACGACGTAAGGGATATAGAAAAGAAGATGGAACTGAGCAATCAGTATGATTTTATACTGCTGGATCCACCCTGGTGGAACAAGTCGATCAGAAGGAAAAAGACGAAATGCGCAGAGGCCAGGTAATCTCACGCGATTCGTTACAAATTGATAGACAGAAAAAATCTCAGTGTGCTTAGAGGAAATACAATTGATCTATCAATCTAAATTCTAACATATTCCTTAACTACTTTATGCTATCAATTTATGATATCAATTGCGTGGGATATTGGGATACATAATTGTATATGCTTACAGTTACAAAATGATGTACAATGAGGAATTGGTCAAGATACCAATAAGAAAGCTGTTACATTCGAACGGTATTGTGGCTGTATGGTGTACAAATTCGTCCAATCATTTGAATAGTATCTTTAACGAAATATTCCCGTCTTGGGGCATTACTTATAGAGCCAAGTGGTACTGGCTCAAGGTAAGTAAAATACCTCAATAATGTTGGGAAATCAATGCGATGAGCATTAGATAACAACTGCCACTCTAGGTGACACAGGCAGGTGGTACAATATGTAATTTTAACTCAGCACCCGGAAAGCAGCCTTATGAATTACTGATATTGGGATCTGCAAAAGGATCGGAAAAGGACAAAGTGGATATCCCTGACGGCAAGCTGATGATTAGCATACCTAGCGCGGTACATTCGCACAAACCACCTCTCACAGGTGCGAACAGTTAAGTTTAAGTCGAGAAATATATTCCCAGAAAATATTTAATTAACATTACATTACGATAAAAAGATTTCTATTCGCGTTCTTAGAAATCATAAAGGAATACCTGCCGGACGAGCCGAAATGTCTAGAAATTTTTGCAAGGTACTTGTTGCCCGGATGGACGAGTTGGGGTCTAGAAATTTTGAAGTTCCAACATTTGTCGCTCTATGAAATTCTGGATGAATGTAGGAACGGCGAGAGTAATGTCGACAGCATAGGAAGCGAGAATGAGTGTAAAGAACAGCCGTAAAATGTAAGAGAGAGAGAGACAGATCTGTAGGCATTACAAATGCGTAAGTTGTAAGACCACGCGTATCGATCCTTTATTATAAATTATTTGCATGCAATTTCCTCGATACAATTTGTCGTTACGATGTACTGTTCAAATGTTCGGTAGTTCCGTTCTTTAATGAAACTCGGTAACCGTAAGGATTCATCTTTTGCCACCTCCAGAAGTCCTGACCTACATTCGACGTATTTCATCGTTAGATTATTTGATATTATTCAGATCCGCGCGTTCAGGCCGAGACACGTTTGCTTACTCACACATTTGCTCGACGTTATACTTCGCTGTCCAGCCCAGCTCCTTTTTCGCCAGATCCGTATTAGCGTACATGGACACAATGTCGCCCTCTCGTCTCTCCTTTATAACGTACGGCACAGTGGTGCCGGTGATCTTCTCGAATGTTTTTATCAATTCCAACACAGTCACGCCGTTGCCGGTGCCTAAGTTGTAAATTTTTAGCCTGAGGTGCTGTTTGTGCAGAGCATTTAATGCCGCCACGTGGCCGGCTGCCAAGTCCATAACGTGAATGTAATCGCGGACGCCTGGAAAAGAGTAAAGCAGTGAGTAAACGCGGTGATAAAAGCATTCTTCGAAAAAAAAAACTTATCGTTTGATATTAATATTATCATTCATTACCGGTTCCATCCTCCGTAGGGTAATCACCGCCGAATATGATCAGCTCCGGCTTGTGCCTTAAAGCGACTTGAGCGATATACGGCATCAGATTTGTGAACGGCTTCGTCGGATCCTCCCCGATCAGTCCCGATCGGTGAGCACCCACCGGATTGAAGTATCGTAAGGACACGATGTTCCAACTCTATTGAAACAAAAGAAATCTCAATCAGAGAAAAATAGCATAAATTAGAATATTAATAACAAATGAATTGACGAACAACACGATTTTTTTTCTCAAAAGAGAAAATTCAAAGTAGGAAATTTAGCCTCTTGTTCTTAATCTAGAATAAATTTATATATGAATGAACGAGCGCTACATTATTTTATATTAAATAAAACTTTAATCGTTAGCCTTGCTAAATTGAAGTAAATTTGAGATTTTCTATATACGCGAACCTTTTCAGCTCTGGATATGTCCTTGAGCATCTCCTCGATAAAGTACTTCGTTCGGCCGTACACATTGGTGATATTACCGGTTTCGTGTTTTTCCGTAATGGGCAGTTCTGTCGGCTCGCCGTAAACCGTACACGAGCTACTGAATACAAGCTGAAAGCAGCCGGCCACTTTCATCACCTGCAAATAATAAGAGGATGACGCGTCGAATTGTAGAAACGATCGGAGAAGCGCGCGCGTGTGTAATATAATCTTCTTACCTCGAGCAGATTGATAGCTCCTATTATATTGTTGCGATAGTAATGCAGCGGAACTTGCATCGACTCGCCGACTGCTTTGATAGCCGCGAAATGTATCACGCAATCTATTTTATGCTGAAAGTGACAAATTATTCTCTTTTCACAGGCCCGAAAAAAAAATTGCTCTCCAACGCTTTCAACTTTACAATATATAATATATACGACGGGATAATCATGACGAATGGAATGTATAATAATGGAATCATTTGCATTTGTACCTGGTTAAAGACGGTCTCGAGCTTCTCTCTGTCGAGCAGATCGCAGTTGTAAAACGTGACTTTCTTCCCTGTTATTTGCTCGACCCTTTTGAGCGCCGCGGACTCGCCGTCGGTTTCCGTCACGCTATTTGCGAAGTTGTCTATAGCCACCACGTCGTAGCCGCACTCCAGGAGCTCGACGATGCAGTGACTGCCGATGTAACCGGCGCCCCCGGTTACGAAAATGGTCCTCCAGTCTCCCGTCATCTTTCCGACTAGACGAGAGAGTTCAGTTTTTAATTTATGCTTGTCAAAATTATTTTTCGTACATTATGTACGAAAAAATATTTTTAACGCAGTTAAAATAATCATTAACTCGTTTGTAGAATATTGTACGAATTTTTTAATTAATTTAAAGGCCTGTTTTGTAAAAGACAAAATTTGATTCTTTTTTCCAAGAACCAAAATTTATCAAATTTTTTTTTATAATAGGAATATTCTTTCCATTATAAGAACAATTGTGCAACCAATTATTATATCGCAGTTATTTATATTCATCCGTTCATTGGTTTGAATTTAATTTGTTAGTACTTTTTTACGTATCAATCTCCTGCAAGTGAATCTCTCGAGTAGTAATGAAACTCTCACTTTAAACTCTAGAAACGCGCACGCGGATCAGACTTTTATCCATAGGGACGCACGTTTACAAACCGAAGAGTGCAGGTGCTTAGGGCATTCACCTTCGTTCAAGTGAGCAAAGAGAGTTCAAGGTCGCCGAAACACGTGGTAAATCACCACAGCGGGAACGCGATGTTCCCGCACCTAGACGACGTTAAAAAGAACGCGCGTCAAGTATAAAAAAGAATATATCAAATTAATATAAATTGATCTCAAATTAGGATTCAATTAAAAATAATATTTAATTTCGAGATATTTAAACTTTATAAATAACTTGAATTATATAATTAAGTATAAATGAATTATATATATAATTCTATAGAATGCGAACAATATGAAGTATTGTAATCACGAATGTATAAACTTGTATTTTCGAATACGTGATGTGTACATGTTCAAGAATTTTTCCAATTCATTAGGCTTGCAGCCTAACTCGCGTGAAGTCACACTTAACGGTATTCGAAATCGATTGCTAGACACTTCAGTCTTTAGTAGTGTATTTCCAAAAACGTGGGATACTTATATTTGTCTAAAAAAAAAAGAACGCATTTTCTTTATAGATTGCAGTATACGTACCGTTTAGATATATTTATAAATAGCTTTTCAATGGAAATAAGTCAGGATTATTTTAATCTGATCACGCCTGATTAATCACCGCTTCGTTTGGAATGTGTTCTTGCAATGGCAACGCGACTTGAGAGAGTCTCTTTCTACGAACCTTGACCTTTCAGAGAAATTAATCGTGTCCTTGGCGAACCGATTTTTCTCATTAGATCACGAGAGATTGTTCGCGCTCGAGGAGGTTTCCTGTCATTCTAGTCTCGAATAAAGCTGACGCGTTGCTTCTGGGAGTCTTCATCATCCCGGGAGCGTCAGTTTCATTCGATTTTTAATTACGATATATAGTAATTCGCTTTTATTATAAAACCGGGAGACTTAAGAATATCATACAACGGAAAGAAATCGTTACCTCGGCCCAGAAGTGAACACTAGGACAATTCAATCGAGAAACGCAATCGACTTTGTTCCGAAGGACTCAGAGGCACTTTCGCGCGACGACTGACACTGACTGCGGATCTGCCTGGAATAGTAACCGCGGAGGAGCGAAAGACTTTAGTATATCGTGGGACGCGCGAGACATCCCCTCCTCCTCCGCGATGCCATATCGACACGCACACTATGCCCTTCCTGCCAGCCTTGTCTTGCTCCAGCCGCCCGCTCTACGATTCTCATCTAAGAGTTCCTCCTTCTCCTCCTCCTCCTTTCACATCTCACGCCGCACTCTTGCTACCAAGCGACCAAGAGAACACGAGAAGCGGGACGAGCTCGCGCTACCGTGCGTCGACTGCATTCGCTGCAGCTTACAACAAAACCGTTACTGAATTAGTATATAAAAGCACGTTGCTCATCTTCGGCGCCTCGATTGAGCAACAGCCTTTGGTAACCGCAGGAACCTGTTTCGAGGCGACTAAAAACGTAATCGTGCGAAATGAGAGAAAAACGACCGAGGCCGAGGGGCCATCCCTCACTCGTTCCCTCGAGGAATGGGCCCTGATTTTCGATTTCGACGGACGATTTCGCCACAGGGCGCGACGTGAAGGCTCGCGAGAGGAATGTCCCGCACGGCGAATGACAATCGGGAGAGAAAGATCGTGCGCATTAATTCGTAGTATTATTGTATATTTTACTGCGTCGACACTACTTGTATCAATTTATGCAGCAGTTCCTTTTGCTCCGTATCAAAGTAAGGATATAGCTCGCTCTCGAGCTCCAACACTGCTTGATGATCGTGAGATTGGCACGCTAATACCAGGGATTGCAGCAGTAATAATTCATCCTCGCTCATATTGAGACCTGTAAAAAAAAACAGAAAAATACAGTTGAGCCAATAACTTCGAAATAGATTTGTTACGAAAAAAAAAAAAAACAATATGTCTGTACAACTTGGAAGCGTGATGTGTACCGTTGTTCACATTTTCTTCCGCCCACGCGTACTTTTCGAGCACCTGGGCGAGAGACGGTGTCAATCTCTGGGGTGATGGCTGAAGAATGAGTAGCAGAAGTACTCGCGTCACTTCGCACCTAATTATTGATTTTATTGTATGTACTTTTGATAATCATTATATGGACAAAGATATTATAACATCACAATTTAATACGCATCAGTAACGAATTTTATGAATGATTGTAATAAACACGGAGCTAATCACAGAATCAAGAGACTCGCTCTGAATTCTCTACAAATTAACAACCGATTGTCTTCGCAATAGATTTTTTCTAGAATATTAATTTTCTGTAACAGTTTATATAAGACTGTTCTTTTTTTCTAAATTGAATGGTGGATAAAAGCATGCGGTATTATCACATGTTTATGAAAAGGAAATACCTATGTAGGATAGCATTGTAGTTTCCCCTGGCACCAGCCACGACACAAGCTTCTACGAATTCCACAAATTCATTGAGTATCTGTAGCGCAGCTACGTAATCTCCTGTGAAAATACAATTATACGAAACAGTGTATATTTAATATATCGATTGAAGAAGATAATCGTAAAAAATATGAATTATTTATACAGATGAAAACGAATAGAGTACCCTGTTTTATGTGAAAAGACACTAAGGTATTGATAGCTTTTGACGTAGGAAAGATATCGATTGCTTTGCGCAGCTGTTGGATACCAGCGGGACTCGGGCCCAACGCTAGCGCCAGCTCCACCGACAATCCCGCGGAAATCGTATTGAATCCCGGTTGATTGCTGCATCTGGCCATGGAATGACCGAAGCAACTCACAGCTGCCTGGAACATACACAAGCTATATTTAGTGTCTTCTTTTTATGTCCCTGTTTTATCGCAAATTCATATTGCACAAGAAACCTGTATGTTCTCTTGGCCTATAGTGGGACATCCTATGTCATTATCTTTTTTCTCGGCCGTAAGAAATTGCCTTCCCGCTTTTACTAGAAGATTTATCTCCGACGAGACATTTTCCAATGTGCCTTGGCATCTAGCGGCCGCCAACCAGCACAGGCCTGCGTACTGCCATAATTCCTTTTGCTCGCATTCGGTAGCTAAGGCACCTTAAAAAAGAATTAAATGTCCTTATTCCATATTCTTGATTTTTAAATGTATATAATTAGGAGTTAAATTGTCGTATAACTATATGAACCTTTCAAAAGTCAAACTGATCAATTCTTTGAAATAAAACATAGACAAAAAAATAAGTAAAATTATAAACTAATCATGTGCTCCGATACTCCTGAAATAAAAAAATTTACAAAAAGTGAAACTGACCAAATCAGGCTTTGGAAAGGCTGATATTAATTTTTTTTATTGACGTTAAACACTCACTAAATTGATCGCATGCCTCGGCGACGTTCGGCTTCCTCAGAAATCGTCTGAAAGATCAAAACGAGAAAAATCAAAAAGAGAAAAAAATCGTTCTTGATGGAAAATCTACAATTACAACAAGAGTGACTCCGACTTACTTCTTCAGCTTGTTCGAAATATTGTGAAACTTCGTTAAATAATCCAATCCGACCTCCCCGATTCCTTGACCTTGATTAACATGGGCCATTTTTTTTTAACTAAAAATTCTGTCAGCCGAAAGTGTATGTATGTACGTGTGTGTTTGTGTCTATTCGACCTATTCGCACATTTGACGTTTTACTCCATAGCGATTCGACACGTGTGTCACGTCATGAACTCATGACACCTGTCGAAAAATTATTTACCGCTCACGCGAGCGCAATTCCGTTATTTCCATTCTCCGCAAGTCTACTCACACACGACGAGGAGGAAAAATGACGTGACAATAATCGACGTAAACAAACGTGACAGAATACAGTACCCTGCGTTACCGACGATATTTACGATATACGTTTATGTCACAAACGTACGAGACAACTAGACGGGCGGCGAAATGAGACTGAATCCCGCCTGATTTCGCCTACGCGGGGTGATCGGTCGGGGTAGGGCATAAATGCGCCACATTTGTTGACACGAGGCGATGACCAATCGCGCCTCGGGCGACCTCGTCCCGTGCGCATCAGCAGTCGATCGGTAAACACAGTCGGAGCGATGCACGCTCGCGTGGCTCGCGTGATTTGACGTATTTGACAAGTTTCGGAGCGCGCGGTGACGACCTCTCGGGAGAGCGGAGCAGACACCTCGGCTGCATGCGGAACGTCGATCGCGTCCGAGACATCCTTTCCTCTAGGGGATAGTATCCTTTTTTTTTTTTAAATTTTTTCCAACACCATGGACACGGACAGGCCTTTGCACGAGGAGTGGAAGAAGCGGGTACGTACACGCAGGCTATGTGTGTGTGTGTGTGTGTGTCACTCGTCGTCGGTTAGAGATAATCGTCGGGGAAGCCCTACGAATTATCTCGCAACGTCGCACCTGGACAAATCAGACGAATAGAATGCATTTTTTCTTGCGCAATAAATGCAACAGAATATCATACATCTCGGCGTGTTGATGGCCTTCTATGCATCATCTAATTTGCATGCAAAATAATTCTACAACGTTAATTGCTATGAGTCAACCATTGGTAGAAACTGGGGCCTCGTTTGAAATATACAGCGTCTTCAACGATTTATATATATATATATATATATATATATGTTATATTTATGGTTGTCAAATCTTAGCCGATTATTAAATCTTAATCTGATGTATTCAAGGCTTTTGTGGGACCACTGCCGGACAGCTTTCTGAGAATAGAGGAGCGCAACGCGCAGTTGCAGCAGGAGGCGGCGGATCAGCAAGCTGCTCTGGCCTTGCAGCAGCAGATGCAGAATATGCCGGTGGCTCACGATCCACGGATGGGTAGACTTAGTATAACAATTTCTCAGGTAACTGCCCTCTCTTGTACTTGCTTGACGTAATCAAGTCGAATGAGCCAACAATGCGACTGCAAGAGACCGCCTTTTCCAGGCCAAATTAGTGAAAAATTATGGAATGACAAGGATGGATCCTTACGCGAGGATACGAGTGGGACACTCGGTGTTCGAGACGCATACAGACTCAAACGGTGGGAAGAATCCACATTGGAACAAAGTAATCCAGTGGTAAGAGCACACTTTGTTCAGACGCGTGCGTACATACGTGTGCCATATGCGCTACAACTTATGTTTTATTATTGCAGCAATCTTCCACCGGGAGTCACCCAGATATATGTAGAAATTTACGACGAGTGTTCCTTCGTGATGGACGAGCTGATCGCGTGGGGTCACATAGATATTCCACCGCAGGTCATTCAGAAGGGAGAGACGCACGAGGACTGGTACATGCTCAGTGGGAAGCAAGGCGATAATCAGGAGGGCATGATCAATTTAGTTTTCAGTTACACGGTAAAAATAATTACACTGTTTTCTTATGATACATATTTGTATCACTAATTTACAATATTTGTAATGTCCGAGAGAACTATTAAATTATAAACTATGAACTGTAGATAGTCATTGAAATTCAAAGCAATTGTGCGCACGACATTAATATATTTTTTTTTTCGAGTACTACTTTCGAGTTTCAACATTTTTTTTTTTTCATCCGAACGCTGTAGACCAAGTATCATCCGTACATGGGCTCCTCCTCGATAATGATGGTTCCCTCTGCAACAATGTTCCATGGCGGCATGCCATACGCCCCGGTGAACGTTTATACAGCACCTCCGCCTGTTGCCACATCAACGGCCCCACCAAGTTCTTTGCCAAATGCCGAGGTCGAGTTGAAACAGGTACTTAACATACGCCTCGTTCACAGAATCCTGTTCGATGTCCATTTCGTTACGTGCACGTAACTATGACGCCCGTACTTTGCAGATTGCAGAAATGTTTCCGAATGTTGACAAGGAGGTCATCAAGTCGGTGTACGACGCCAATCACGGCAAGAAAGACGTTACAATTAATTCGTTGCTTCAGATGTGCGAATAAAGTTCTAATTTTTTTTTTCTACGCAGTTAGAATGCCATACGTAACTTTAACGTATTCTTTCGTTGACGGAATATTTCTTTGGAATGTTGGAAGAGATGATGTACGGCGGAAATTTAATTTGTAACACTTCCATACGTAATAATATATGTTAAGGCCCGAGTATTCCTTGAAACGATATGTGAAATATTTCTTCTTTGAAGAAACGTATTAGATTTTAATTGAGCATAACATTGAATTATTCTTAGTCAATTTTGTTATATATGTTATTGTTACCAGAGTTTATCTTTCCCCCCCCCCCTCGTGATTTCCATTATGTATGAGTATTTATTTTCCAATTGCGTTTATATATTATACGGTTACACGATTTATTTGTTTCTGTATACAATTTAAATATAATACATTGCGCGCGTTCTGCAAAATTGTAAAAAGATATACGCTTGATCGATATAGCTGCACATAAATTGTAATAAATATTAAATATATAATATAATTTGTACGATGTCTCATTCATATCAAGGATAATAAGAATAAGCCGAAAGTGTGTCAGGAAATATCGAAATATTAAATTTTATACATAAACAGCGAAATAACTGCAACTGCAAAAGTAATTAGTGCCGAATGTGTATTTCTTATTGTTCTTGAGTAGCAGGGTTTATATACGTCTGTGGTGCCATTACAGGCACACACTTCGATACTGTATCCCTCAGTCTAGAAGCAGATTTAAAAAAATATCATTATATATCTGTAGTTCGTCGTCAAACGCTAATGCACGGAGTTATTAATCGCAAAGAGAAAACAGGAAGTTAATTTGATCGTTTACATACGTATTGAATATAACAGTCTGATGTGATCGGCCGGTGGTTTTCCATGACTTTCCCTTGGAAATAACTGATATTCACAGCTGCAAATATATAACATTTACGTTTATTCGTGTCTGTATAAAATCTGCTCCGTAAAATGCTCCGTAATCTGCGTCAAATTCTATTTTGTCACTGTGTGGAGTATATTTACCTGCGCCATCGTACATGTATGTATACCTTATACAAACATTATGAGGCTCCTTCTGTTCGATGTGTTTTTTCTCGAATATATCAGTTAAATTCGGCTTTTCCAAATCTGAAAATATCACGATCATGGAGATCAATATCGTTTGACAGTTGAACTTATAACCGCGAACGAATACGAACGTTACACACATACATACACACTTACCACAAATAAACGGAGTTATACAAGGAGTAAATGAATCATTATGTTTCGTACAGTCAAACGTGCTATTTTCATAATGAAACACATCCAGCCATGTAAATTTAAAGCATTGGTGACCTGTCACTGCATGCAAAAATAATAGATTTTAAAAGGAAATAGACTACAATAGCAGTTGACAAACTGCGTCGAACAGTTCGAGCGAAAAACAACAATGTAAATTAAATCAGAGATTATATCAAGTAGCTTTTCGCATTTCTTTATACGTATTAAGCATCATAATTCCTTCGTATATTTCTAGCTCGAAGAATCATCTCTCTCATTGTGATACAGACTAAGTCAAATCTATCCCCCGTATTTTTATATATAATTTATATGTCTAATGTGTACGTAATTATATATATATAAATACACACACACACACACACACAACACTTATACAATGCGAACTGTCTTAACGCTCTACATGTGCATGTATCTACACGGATAGGTGTTTTTTGCGATCTATTCTTATATCGCGGCTGAATAACGACGAAAGCGAGAAAAACTCGGCGGTGGCTTAAAACGTACGTTTTTCCCTCTGATTCGACTGCTCCGACTTAAACGAAAATATCGTTAAATATCGACGGCCTGAAAAAGCTGACGCGCTGTTACTTGGTACTTATATTCTTGGCGTGCGGTATTATTTGTAAGACATCATCGAGGCGTATAATGTTGTGAGGAGAAATAAATATACTTACCGAATCCGTGTGTGTGAATCGTTAAAAATACAGCCAAATAAACCCCTTTCATTTCTTTGCCTGTTTGAGAGCGCTAGCTCGCTCACGCGACGATATCGCAGATATTACTCACGTTGCCGGGTGATTCGAAGCTTATCTGATAAAATCGATCATGATCATATATCAATGACAATGTCCTAAATATGGCAATCGTATCATCGTATTATCAACGTACAGCACGATAGTACGAAGAGATATAAAGATGAAAAACTAATTAACCGCTGCTGATTTGGTTGTTTAAAAATGTTTCGTTTTGTTGCTTTTTGCGAATCATATGCGCTATTAATGTGCTCCTTCTGCTTTCGGACGTTTCGTCTATTAATATTCTTTACATTTCGCTTCTAATGGATTTAGTTACCACGTTCTATTTATACGCTATAAGGGTCGATTCCGCTTCTCCGCGGAAACTCGGAGAGAGTTAATACAATGGCAATATAAAAAATTTATTGTAACAACAGCTTAGTTTCGAAAGCATCAAGCTTTACAATTTTTGGCAGATACAGGATTCCATGCACTTCCTCCTTCTTTCTACGATATCAATTATTGCAAATATTTCCACGATATATAAAAACACATCTATTTATTAGAGCAAATATATAAATATTCTTCTTCGTAGATAAACTAGATAGATCTTAAGTAGAGATTTAAGTATTATAAGTCATTTGTTCGTTAGTGATTCTTTAGCTTTCTTATGAGATTACACCTTTTATTTTAAATTAAATTAAAACTCATCGTGCCTCGCCAACGCCTCGCCGAAGTCCGTCGCCTGGGATCCGACGAAGATGTCGTATTTCTCCAAGATCTCGCTCTTCGTCAGCTTGTGATCCGCATCTGTGTCCGCCTCGTAGATCAGGTGCCTCGACTCCGCCTCGGCGTGATCGAATTCCGCTGGGATGATCCACGTTTTCACCTGTTTCGAATTGAAATCCAAACGAATCTCAGCTTTATCGAAATTAATTCATTAAGACGCAGATACATTTATCCTTCTACATTTTTATTCGACAACCCAAATGTATAAGGAGTAATCAATTACCTCGTCAGCATTCAAGAATCCGTCCCCATCTTTGTCCCTGTACAAGGAGAACTGTTCTTTCTCGTTCTTCACCCACTCCGGCTCCTCCTCACCTTCCTCGCCCCTGTACATGTCGCCTGCGGACATTAAATTAAGGATGGAAAAAAAACCACTCGGGGCTCTGCCTTTTGGGGCAACGGCGGTGATTCTCTCGCTTACCGATGTACTCTATGAGGGATATCTTGCCGTCGTTATCCTTATCGATATCCTCCATCGTTTCCAGCACTATCACGTCCTTCATGTGCTCCGCGTCCTCCGCGTGAAGGAAGGCGGTGAACTCCTCCTTGGTCAGATGGTCATCGCCATCCAGATCCGCGGTGGTCCACCTTCTGCGATCCCTCTTGTACATTTGAATATACGAGAACGAGTTGTCGGCCTCGTCGCCGTCCCGCTTCTCCGCCTCCTGCTCCTCCATGTCGCCGTAAACCATGTCCTTGTACTCCGTCCACGACAGTTTCTCCTTCCCCGTCGGATTGTGGGACCTCCACTGACGCTCCACGTCGTCCCTGATGTAACGCTGCTGCGTGTACATTATCCAGTCCTTGAGCTCCTCCTGCGTCACGTAGCCGTCGCTGTCCTTGTCGATCTTGTCGACGATTATCCCCAGGCGCCTGGTGCTCTCCTCAGGAGTCAGCTGATCGAAGGTTTTCGCCTCTTCTCCGAGGAAAGCCTCGTGATCGTACGCCGGATTGTGTTGGGAGTGGACATAGTGATCTTTGCTGCTTGCATCCTAGAATACATACATTTTAATGCATATATACATTACACCCTGTGAATCTTTAAAATCGCTATCTTTCTTTTATCTGTCAACAATCTTAACTGTGCAATAAAAGCAATGTCACGTTATAATTTACCGATACAAATCAACTTTTCAGTGATCGAACCAATTTTTCTTAATATAACAGGAAAATTTTTAAATGACATTTTATTCAATCGATTATAAAATGCGAGAATTGTCGAAGGGTGCACTCGGTTTTTTTTCCCTAACCTTGTTCAATACGCGATGCTCGCCGTCCGGGATCGCCTGCTTCGGGATCGCCGTCGCCAGGATGGAGAAACCGATCAGAATTTGGAGGAGCATGAGTGCCCGCATTCCACGGAGACCGTGCACTGGAGGCGAAGGGGGAAAAGAGAGAAGAAACAATGGAGTGACACAGAAAAGGGGACGGATCGTCGACCGAAGAATCGCTCGACGATGAATCTACGAGGCGTCTGTTCTACGATCGGAATGAAGGGACGACAGAGATGAGACCTCTCTCCTTCCACGGCCCGCGCGCGGCTTCCACATCAGCAAGAGCGGCGGTGGAGACCGTAAACGCGCGGCGCACTCCCACCTCCCGCGCCGCGCGAGCTCGTTTTATGGGGAAACGCGCGGCGCGGCGGCGGCGGCGGCGACGCCAGACGCCACCGACGCCGCCGACGAGACGTCACCCGCGAATCGCGGGCCGCCTGCTCGGCCGAGGAGCGCACGCCGGACGTTCGGCGGCCGGTGCTCCCGCCGAGAAATCGCGAATCCGCAGCCTCCACGTGGACCACGCGGAGGAGATAATGAGAGATGATAACGGAGTCTCTATTACGAGAGACCCTTTAAACGAGACGCTCCTCCCCTTCTTCTTATTTTAGATCTCTCGGTCCCGAGGAGATACAGTATGCATGCAGTCTTATATCGCGTTCTTAAATCCGCAGAATCATCTCGCGGCTGGATTTATGAAGGCATTATATAGCGCTTCGACCAAACTCGAAGCAATTTTATCGATGATTAATATATTCGATTGGCAGAATTGTAATGGCAAAATTTATTAATTATATAATTCGTCCTCAGTTTTTTCTCGCGTATCAGACGATAAAAATTAATAATTATCCATGTTAATAAAATACTAAGGGACTAATAAATACTAAGTATTACTTAATTCACGTTAATTAATCGTCGATTAAGTTGGAACAGGATATTACAAAATTTATATGCGATAATTTGAGCCTGTACAATATTCGAGAAATGGGCAATTTAAATATTTTAAATCAAGTCAGCAGTTAGGAAACCGCGAGGATTAATTTGGGAATTGTATTCGTGTGACTGCAGACTTTTTTTAAACAAGGTTTTATTTAAAACAACACGTCAAATATGTCTATACTCTTTTTTCTTCGTTTCGTCATTCTATTGTAGATCTTTGTCTCCACAAAGTTCTACAATTTAGACGTTGTATCGTTAGATGTTTGTACTCATTGGGATATCAATGTTCGTATCGTTTCAATAGCACACGTGGAGTTATTTCATATATTGCCACATGGCAAACAAAAGAAACAGTAGGTAAAGCAATACTTTACAGGCATTAAAACACAGGAGTTTACCATGTAGACATTCAACTATAATGAGAACTCGATGCAGGAACCAAATCAACATAACTTTAACTTTCCAATAGTCTAAATAGTTCGATTTTCCAAGCAATCTCTGTGCAATTTCGAAAGCTTTCTTTTACCGGTATAGAATTGTTAGAATTATCGTTAGATCAATCACAGACGTTAGATGTACAATCTCGACAATCTTTCTCTCTCTGTACAATTGTCCATTCCTTATCTGCACGTTCACATCGATCCTCCCTGCAGTCTAACGTTTCTCTGCTTTTTGGGAACTCCGGTCTTTCGAAATTCACTCCTCTCGTCCAGATACTGTTCCGTGCACTCTTTAATAAAGTCGTCATTGTAGTACCACTTCTTCATGCAATCCTGCATCTTGTCATTCTCCCTCCTGCACTTCACGACGTGCAATATGCCGGTATTCAGGCAGCAGTCGTGGAATTCTGTTCGGGGGAAGAGAATCAATCACACATTTATTGAATGTCACATTCGATCGAGCCCCTGCTGGGCGACAAATCAGCTGATATGTGATTTTTACCTTTGACCTCGTCGACGCACTTCTCGGCTTTGACTCTATCTCGCATCAGCTTGGGTACCATCACGTCCTTCTCCACCCTCCTCAAACTCCTGTCATCGGGATCACCTGAGACAAACGCAATGAGAATTATTTTTTGAAGGAAAGTGACCGAAAGAAGAAACCGCGGCGGATACGCGGATTGCTGAGTGAGCGACGTGCATTTTTTAGTGTCAGCGAATTTCGAGCACGCAGACCCCGGTCGCCGGTCGCGCGCGCGAGCAAAAAAAAAAGATAACCTGTCGGGCTTAAGAAAAAGATAACCTGCTACCCGACAGTCCTATCCGACAGTTCCGCTCCGGCGACAAAGTTATTTCGTCATTTCACGACGTCACCGTTCCACGGGGAGGGGAACGCGTGTCGCGCGGTAGAGAGTTTACCCAGTCCCTTCGGCCCTCCGCTGAGTTTAGGCGAGAGCACCGAGCACTCCTCCTTCATGCCGCCGGTGCTTTCGAAGCAGCAGACCCAGGGAGCGGCGGGTGGTGCGAACGTTTTCGCACACGGGTACGAAATGCGAGAAATCTGAGGAATTCTTCCCCACCCACGCCACTCGTCCGTCACACGTGCGTCGAGTCACGTGACTGTCATGACAGACTCGTACGTTTAAAACGTGACGCACACGGCGCATGCAGTTCGCTCATTTCTAAAATGCCTTCGAAATCTTTAAATTTTTATCTAAAACATTTTTTCTTCGTGTCTCTTATCGCGTTTTACCGACACACGCTTGGAAACGTAAAATTTGATTTTTCCCAAGAAAGATACGCAAAAAAATATGTATCTCACACATATCATGCATATCCAAAGCTCAAAATCGGGGGGAAAAAACGCATTTTCTTACGAATGTATATCGTATATATGCAGTCGAGTGGGACCGAGAGAGAGAGAGAGAGAGAAAGAGAGAGACAAAACAAGAGGGACAATGGCCAGAAATACACGATTTGACAGTCCCTGTTTTTTTTTCGTCTCGCCGTCTCGCGACGCTGGGAGCAACCGGCAGACTGCGCTCGTGATTGTGCACATTTCAGACTTGTCATCGGTGACTCCGAGGGAGGAATGCTCGCACGGTCTGTCGCGACGACGGGGGAAAAATACTGTGTGTTGCTGAGGACGAGTGGATTGTAAGGATAGCTCGCATCGTAATCCGATAAGAGTCGCGCCGCACCTTTAGACTGTAAATCGCCCGGGGGATAATCCGAGATCCGCTTAGCGTTCTTTTCCTAACCTCCAAACGTACATGTTTCCCCTCGATACGTACACACGAAGACGAAGTATCCCGAATCCTCGACTTTTCGTGCGCCGCAATTGTATGTACAACGTCCTTTGAACGTTTGCAGAGTGTAGAGCTCCAGTTTGACGCGTCAGAATGGACAGACTGTTGCGACTGGGCGGCGGGATGCCTGGCCTGAATCAAGGGCCGCCACCCTCCGACGCGCCCGTTGTGGACACAGCTGAACAGGTATCTGTCACTCGGAGCCTCGTGCTTTTCAACCCCTTCGCGTCAGAATTTTTCCCCTTATTCTTTCTTTTTTTTTCCCCATCTTTACAGGTGTACATATCGTCGTTGGCGCTTTTGAAGATGCTCAAGCACGGCCGCGCCGGCGTCCCGATGGAGGTGATGGGCTTGATGCTGGGCGAGTTCGTTGACGATTACACCGTTCGCGTTATCGACGTCTTCGCCATGCCGCAAACGGGAACGGTAAGTGGTGATGATATGCAAAACGAGGAGACTGATGGAAAAGCACCTTTGTACAATGCCGTTTGTTTCCCTCCTCAGGGTGTCAGCGTAGAGGCGGTGGATCCAGTGTTCCAGGCGAAGATGTTGGACATGCTGAAGCAGACCGGTCGGCCGGAAATGGTGGTCGGCTGGTATCACTCTCATCCGGGATTCGGCTGCTGGCTGTCCGGGGTGGACATCAACACTCAACAATCCTTCGAGGCACTCAGCGAACGAGCGGTGGCCGTGGTCATCGATCCTATACAGTCAGTGAAGGGGAAAGTTGTTATCGATGCATTTAGGCTAATCAATCCGAACATGATGGTGAGTGTATATTCGTGGCAGTTGTGTGTACTCTCTCCGATTCTGACGTTTCTGACCCTGTCCTCTGATTGCCAGGTTTTGGGGCAAGAGCCGAGGCAAACGACGTCGAATTTAGGACACCTACAGAAGCCATCCGTTCAAGCGTTGATACACGGATTGAATCGGCATTATTACAGTATTAGTATTAATTATCGCAAGAACGAGCTGGAGCAGAAGATGCTGCTGAATCTTCACAAAAAAACATGGATGGACGGCCTTACCCTTGCCGAATACTCGGAACACAGCCGGCTCAATGAGAATATCGTTTCCGAGATGCTTGAACTCGCGAAGAATTATAACAAGGTGAGCTTGAAAGCTTTTAAGCATTTTTTTTTTGCATGGTATACTCGCGGTGGATGTCTTGAATATCTTTTGCCACAATAACGAGAGTCTCGTTTTCGTGTTTAGGCCTTGGAGGAGGAGGAAAAGATGACACCCGAGCAATTAGCGATAAAAAATGTTGGCAAGCAGGATCCGAAACGGCATCTGGAGGAGAAGGTCGACACACTAATGGCTACAAATATTGTTCAGTGCTTGGGAGCTATGCTCGATACAGTTGTATTCAAATAACTGTTTTCCGACACGTCTACTCGCAATATGGTATTTAAAGGAAATATACATCTTTTTAAAATAGAAGTATGACATTTTGTATTTCCCGAGGTGCACGCAACAAAGTACAACGCGAATTAACACGTGCACGCTTTTCCCATCGCGTATTCTTATTGAAATATACGTTTGTCTTTATAAAATTTATATAATTATCAAATTAAATATTAAACGAAATGAATATTTGTTATATATTACAGCATGTGAGAATATTTAACGGAAAAAAGATGAGGACAATTGGTTATTGAATATAGGGATAAGAGAGTTCAAGAAAAATAAGACATTTATAATTAATTATTATTGATACTGACATATATGTGAATACAATCTATAATCTATATCATCATTTATATTCATAATAATCCTACAAATTCATTGTGGAAGAAACATAAAAAATGCATTAGTACTATAAAATATACATGATTCTTTTCATGACGCGCTTTCATGATAAAAAAACGATATATGTACAGTATAAATTCTTGCAACTTATTCTTACGGAAACAAATTCAAAATATAAACTAGAATACCAGTTTAAAGTCCGACATATGCACCAGACAAGAAATGATCTGAAAGAAAAGACATGAGTGGCAACACACGAGCGAAACATTAGGAAAAGTTAAAGAATGTCGCAGATATTTTGTATTCCTTTTTCAGATTATTCTCGGAATACAAACTTTCGTAAAGTCAAAAAATATTGTATAATATATATAAAATTGGAACATTCTTTTAATATAATCTAAGAATAATACATAATTCGTTAAAAAAATAACTGTACACTTTATGTAACAGTTTAGTCTAAAAATATTTTCTTTTTATTAAATCATCAGTCTAACTCGACATAGATTCCCGATCTTTCTCCTTCTTTTTCTTTTTCTTCTTCTTTTTCTCTTCCTTTCCCGTAGATTCCTATAACACATAAGTATCTTATATTAATATATTGCGTCCAATTTTCAGATTACATATCTCATTATTAGACCCAATCTAATTACCCCACTGGCATCTTCCTCTTTTATCACAACGGACTCTTCGCCTTCCGTATCGTGTTTCTCCTTCTTTTTCTTCTTTTCTTTTTTCTTCTTTTTATCTTTCGGTGATGATGTTTCTACATTCTCCGGCGCTTCCTGTTTCACTGTTACATCCATTGCACTCTCGTCTTCTTCTCTCTTTCTTTTCTTACCGGTGACTAAGTCGCCATTCTTTTCCGTCTACATTTATGAAAAATATTTATGTAAATACAATTTTTGATATATATATATATATATGATTATAACAAAATATTAAAGTTTAATTTAATAAAATATTAGAAGAGCCAGAATAATCGACTTGCCGTTGATTCTGTTGTCGTTAATGACGCAGCTAGATTTTGGTAGTCTTTGTAACTCTGTAGCCATTCAGCAGGTGTATTTTCATTTGGTTTTCCATGCTTATCTAACAGTCCTTCAACTATCATACGTTTCTTCTGCGACGCTTTAGGTCCCAAGCCCCACTTCCTCGGATACGAATCTCTCTCCATAATAACCCTTTTGAGTTTTGCAACTACTCCATGATCACAGGCAGCCATGGTCGGCGAGGACATCAAAGCTACGGCTGACATATGCAAAAAAAAAAGTATTTTGTTTGAAGATTACAAATAAGGGCAAGTATTTCAAAGACAAATGTAAAAATGATAAGTTGGAACATTAAGTTAAAACATCCTCAAGTGGATAACGCGAGAAGTCAAGCATATATGCAACAGTACTTAAAAAATATATCAATATACTTTATACTAAAATTTACCAAGTGCTACAGCTTCGCCCTTGGTAGTCACGATCACAATTTCCTGATTCAACTCTATCCCTTGGTCGTACATCAAGACGCCCGGTAACATTATTTTAGCTCCGTAACAAATTGCGTTTACCTAAATAAAATTCGTGTAACATAATGTTAAATAAACAATATTCAATTTCCTTTATTATCCAGTTAACAAGAAATAACGAAGTACATACGGCGCTGTCCTTTATGATGATTCTCTTGTGACTCAGTAGCAGCGATTCCAACGGCCTTATAACCCTTCTCAGATACGTCTCGTCCCCGTGATTGTCGTAGAGCCACTGAGCGTCGAGAATATCCTGCATAGTGACCATACCGTCTTGCTCGGACATGACGCCGGACCGGCTTCTACGTAGCTCTTGCATGTGACAACCGGTACCTAGGAAGAGCCCAAGATGGACACACATAGTTCTGATATAGGAGCCGGCCTCGCAACTGACGCGAAATACTCCCATATTTCGTTCCTGGTCGTAATCGAGGAACCAACTGTCGTATACTGTTCTGACGCGAAGCTGTCTCTTGACCGCCGATATCAGCGGCGGCCTTTGAAAGAGAGCACCGCGCAATTTCTCCAAGGCTTGTTGCACCTAAATCATCGTATTAACGTGTGTATATAGATATACGAGGTATCTTTCGAGAATGCACAATAGCAACGAACAGCCTTTTGGATAACAAAGAATAAATAAATATAGATGTACTTAGGAGGGATAAATAACGCTCAATAACAGAGTGATTACATATCAAGCGAGAAACTGGCGTTTGAGATTCCCAGTCCTGTTATTTCATGTATATTATTCATATATTAATTTATTTATTCTTATTTATTCCACGTTATATTGATTTATTCTGTGTTATCCACAACGTTCCACGCGTATTTACCTTCTGAACACTTTCCGGGGCGGAATGCAGCTTAAACACGGCCACGTATTCCTTCCCGGCGGACTGCTGAGACTTGGCCAGCCTCGTCGCCCTGTCTATGCAGACTATCAGGCATCCCGACACCTTGGGATCCAACGTGCCGGAGTGGCCGGTCTTCTCCACTCTCAGGATCCTCTTTATCCAAGCCACTACCTCGTGCGACGACGGATTGCACGGCTTGTCCAGATTGATGCAGCCCGACTTTACGTACTCCGACAAGCTGCGATTCAGCGGGGTGGAGCCGCTCGTCAGCGGAGTAAAGTGCTTCGTGCGCGTCAGCATCTTGTCAAAGTTCTGTCAACAGGCAAGCAAGTTTGTCTCTCAATTTCATCAATTACTTCGCCTAGTTGTCGCGCGCAACGAATTGAAACTGAAGAAAATCACCTTAAACAGCAGAGGCCAGTCCTTACATTCGAGCTTCACCTCCACGTTGGAGGGTTCGAGCTCGCACTTGGTCGTCAACTGCAGCTCGCCGATCGATTTCTTCTTGTCCTTCTTCTTGCTCTTCTCTGCAAGAAAATTGTGGGAGATGTATAACCTGATCATCAATCTTAACCTCCATTCCGAAAAATTAAGCGAGCAAATTTTCACGGGTTATATTCGCCGGAGTAAACGTAGGGAGTGCCGTTTGTCCGACGTGTCATCCCGCCTCGATACTCTTAACAGTACTATCATCGCAAACAAACGCTGTGAACGCGGGCACGTGTTCGTTCATGAGGGCGGAATTCATAACAGAAACTACCGCCGATTAGGGATAATCGGCAGTGGACTCGGGACGATATCTGAAAGGGGACTTCGTACGAGAGCGATGTTACTCACCTTGTTCCATTTTGCAGTTTGTTAAAACACCTGTGACTTGAAAGCCGAATGCCGCCAATTGTTGTGCAGAGAGAGAAAACGCCAGGAGCTGCGAGGCAACGTGGAGTCCGAGCGGTTCATGCAAGTTCCGCGTTCTGCCGCGTTCCGCAGCACATTCACAGCAAGCTATTTCCGCAAGCATGCGCATGTGCGCGCGCAGGCTGTTAAATTTATACGTCGCGCGTGATCAATCCATGGACGAGAATAAAGAGCATTCAAGAATTCTCATCAATCTATCAATTTTACTTTAGCTGCTATTATCTGCTATTATTATTATTATTAAGACAAGTATGTAGTTTTAAATTACAATTTATTTGTCAATTATTTTTGGTGTATTCCTGCAATCTCGAAAAGTGGATGTAGCACGGACACGCACCACGTCCACTTTTGGTGCTGCGATTTTATCGGCAATGTTACAAAAATGGATACGTAGTTCCTCTGTCGAGAAAACGGACGTGCGGCGCTAGTGTGCAGGGGAGCGCGTCGCCCTACGAAGAACTCTGACGTCACGACGTCAGCAGTCAGCTGATAACCACGTCGGTGTTGGTACGTCATTGCGCGCATGAGAATTGTGTAGGTGACAAAAGGGATACGACAAAAGACGGGAGAAAATAAAGGATAACGCGGAATAAAATGCATCCGTACTGGATTTTCTGCCACAGGAGAGACACGAGAAAGTATATATACTACCACACTACAGTCGAGCTCGCCTCGTTTGTTTAGCGCGTCAGATGAATTCAGATAATAACTAACAAATTGTTGTTAACTCGTCTCACAGTCCCCGACTAACAGTAACAGTCCGTCATGGGTGAGCGAAAAACGTCAGAGTGTTTAATTTGCCCTAGGCTTTCCAGCACGCCGGTCGTGCGGCCCTC